CAGATAGCATTGGGAGAGCTAGTTGTCTAGTTGTGGTAAGCATTCTTACTTTTGTATACACTATTTTTATCTTCTGTTGACAAATTTTTATATTAATGTTGTGATTAAATATGCTTATTTTCTCATGCAATTTAATTTGTATTGATATGTGTGAACATACATCAAGAAAGGGCCCGTGTTCTAGGTGTGATGAAAAATTTGGGCATGACCAACATAGGCTTTACTATTTCTCACTATTTCCATATTTATTCCTTTTAATTTCTTGTAAAAAAATTAAGAAAGCCACAATTGTACTTTCACATTTGTGCTCACATGTTAGTCCAACAACCAAATAAATTTAATTGCATGACATAACTTCTCCTTTTTAGCTCAAATGCTTCAAATTTTAAATTTTAAATTATTATATAGAAAATAATTTAATTTAGAAAGAAAATATCACAATGACTACTAGGATATCATTCTTTCTTTAAAGTAAATTAAAAAATATAAAAAAAAATCATTTTCTTTTCTTTTAAGAAAACTTGACAATATCAAAGAATTGTACCATTCTACCAAAGTGCATTTTTTTTATAACTACTTAGCATAGTACTTCTATCTATCTATATATACAACAAATAGATTTATAGAAAAAAATATTTATTTTTTATTTAGAAACTACAAGAATCCTGAATTTTAAGACTTTAAGTAACTTTTTACTCGTCAATACACGAATTCATTTGTACATAGATTTTTAAGAGAAAAAACACAATCTCTTTTATGAACAATATTCTGAAAAACATTAATACATCATTTCATTTGCCTAATTGACCTCTATGATTACAGATTTATTGAAGAAATTTTTTATTAGATTATTGTTAAAAAAATAGGAAGGTGATAATTGTTATTATCCTAAAAGTAAATTTCCGACTATCTTTAGTGGAACTTGATATATCCAACTTTATTCTTCAAATACACAACATAATAATTAAAAGTGGCCTTAGCATTGAAGCCTAACAAACAATTATCGTTATCAAATGCCTATGTTGTGATATCTTTAATTTATAGAAGGCAAACACATTTGTTAAAAATAAACTATTTAAGTACGGTGATATGATATAAAGTCTTTAAATCAAGCTATTAAAAAACTAATCATAAATGAAGATATTAAAACGCCATATATTATTTGAGTAAAAACCCATATTTTATAACAATAGTCTTAAAATAATCTTTTATCTTCAAAAAGGAAATGAAAATTCCTGTATTTTAAGACTGTTCATATGCATGACGTGTAATTGAAGTCACTCATAATCATCATCCTAAATTATTCATTGTTCATGGACACATTTTTCTCGGTACATACCACATATTGCAGGATAGTTTCGTTCGCTTGAGAAGAACAAAACTACACATGCAAAAGCTTTTTCTTTTTTTTTTAATTATTATTATTATTTATGATAATCTTAAGGAATTATATTAACTGATTACAAACAAAAAGTTATTTTAAAAAATATTATGTAAAAATATAATCAAATATATTTTATTATTATTTTTTCTTAAAATCAATTGTGTCTCCTAAAAGTTGATGTTAGAAAAACCTAAACACAACCTTCTACATGTCAGCATGATGATCTCATGTTATGGTCCATAATATATGTAAAAAAAAAAAGAGAATTATAGTGCCACGACTTGACTTGCCTTGATTTTGAAAGATTCTTTTGTGGGCACAGGTTAATTTATAGTATAGTCTTCCACGTATTTCCCCTCACATGACACCAATTAAATATTACTAGCTTCATTCCATCATTAACTTGTAAACAAAGCATGTCAGATCTTTCATTGGGGAGCACAGATGTACCCTGTAGAAAATTTGTATTTATCTCGTTTTAATGAAATAATCAAGGATTCAAATTTCTATGTTTTTGTCAAGAATGCGTTTTGAAATAGAGTTTAATTATGCACTTATTTAATGGTTTTTTTAAAGCAAGAGTTTATTCAATAATTTTAATTATATGTTTTTTATATTTTTTTTTATAATATATCCAAATTGGATATCCCATTTTATTTTTCTCAGTCAATCCCTGGAAATTCAATTGGAGAAATTTAACTAATTAAACTAGGAGACTGAAAGCAGCAGTGTATCCCACTTTCAATTTTCATTAACAATGGAATTTCGTGCACAAGACTGTGCCTTGACTTGGACCTGTTCATGTAGCTCTTGTAAGAGTTGTGGAAGAATCGTTATCCTGCTGCTGCTTATAAAATATGTCTAAGTAAATGTGGAAATTCCACAAATAGGTACTTTATTTATTTCAATGGAGTTTTCCCTTATTTTTATAAACTTTCATAATTATTAAATAAAAAACATATTTTATATTTTAATACTTAATTTAAAAAATTGTTAAAAAAAGAAAAAGATATAAGAGAGCATAATAAACAAACGTTGAAATTGTTTGTGACGAGGAAGATAATCAGCTCAAAAGAGAGGAAAAGGACAGAGATTAGTTGGAAATAAAGAATATAAACTTTTCAAAGTTGGGAAATTGAATCATGTGGAAAAAGAATGAACAAGTTAAATAACGTAACGTAATATGCGTGGCGTGAGCATCAGAGCATGTGACGATGGCATGAGATGTCATATTCAGACTTGAAGAACCAAATAAATATTTTTTTTTCATTTTAAATTGTGAAATTGAGTAATTAAAATAATAATTTTTCATAAGATTAAAATATATTAAAAAAATTGGAATATTTTTTAAAGACATTTAAGTGCTAATTTAATAATGTTTAATTTTTTACTGATTTTGATTCGTGTCACTAATCTATTTGATCTACCAAATCTAATGTTATTCTGACAATACGTGTGAACCTATCTTATCGAAATTTAATTTATATACCAAATAAAGATACCATAGACGACAATGAATAATTATTATATGATGGGAATTTTTTAAGGGTGACCATTGATAGGATAGAAAAAAAATATAAACCGAAACGAACCAGAACTCCAGAAAGCATGCAGATTAAAACTGTTTCTGATCATTGAGCATGGTTGCGTCGTCAATGGAAAATGTCACACATATAATATAGTTCTGTTTGAAAGAAAATAGAAACCATTTATTAAACAATAGTTATTATATAAAAACAAAATATTTCAATTTTTTTAAAAAAAATATTTAAATATCAGATGAAACATTGATTTATTTTTTTTAATAAATGTTCTCAAGCCACTTATTAGTAAAATTAATATTCATACATGAAAATAGATAAAAAGTTAAAGTCTAACTTTTTTAAAGCTTAATTTATATTATTCTATTTAAATAATATATTTAATTTAACGTTTTTTAAAAATTTAATTAATTGAATAAGTTAAATTTAAATTTTAAAAAATTATTAAACTTAATAAAATAATTTATTTAAAATTCATAAAATTTATAATAATATATTATATAATTTTATATAAAAATTAAAATATAATATTGTAATTAATAAATTAAATTTTAAAATAATAAATTATTAAAATTAAAAATTCTATTTTTTTATTAGAATTAGAAAGCATCTCTATTTTTATTTTTTTTTTGCTATAGAAAGCATCTCTATTACCTGTATTTCAAAAAAAAAATGTTACTATTAATTAATATACTTTGTATGTATAATATAAATATTAATTTTTTTTTATATTTTATTTAAATATATGTCTTATGACTTTTATACAAATATATTTATTTAAATAATTTCATAATCCATTTAAAAAAGACTTAATGATCGATTAAAGATTTTAATATGAAATAAATTATTAAAAAGATTAATAAACTAAATTAAAATTTTAAAAATATTAAAGTAAATTTAATAAAAATTATATGATAATAATAAATTAAATTTTAATTTTAAAATTATTAAATAAGTCAGAGCTTTAATTAATATAAAATGAAAAAACTTTTTGTTAGACGATTGACTAATGGTGCTCTTTTTCTCTTTCTTTTGGAAGTCAATTGTAAATGTTTGGGCAAGAAGATTTTATATATTATACAAAGTTATATTTATTAATATATATATATATATATATTATATAACATATTAAATAATAAAATATTATAATTATAGTAATATTTATTACAATATTCTTGTATTATGAAATATTTTTATTGATATTTATATTAAATTGTGTACTTATATATTAACAAATAAATAGTCAGTGTAGTCGTTAAGTAATTATAATACATCCTTTTAAGAGGTCATTTGTTAGGATCGGTCATTTGGCCAATTTTCAATCTATCTGATTAAATCGACTGATTCACTCTAACTTTTAAATTAGTATTATTTTATTTTTAATAGTTAGTAATTTGTCCCAAAGAACTTACGATAGTAATCATGAATTAGAATCTGCTCACAGGGAACTAACATCTTCAAACAACCATAACTAACGAGGTAACTCAAAAATTAGTACCAAACAAATCGAATTCGCAAAATAAGAAAATCGCTTGTCTTTTCAACAATTGACAAATGACAAACCTTTGCAAACACATGAAAAGCACTTATAAGTGTGTTCACACGGCTTCTTTGCAAAACAAAAATCCAAGTGCGATAACTTTTCGTAATTTTTAATGGAAATTATGTAACTTTTCCGTGAGTTTTTGGCTTTTAAAGTACAACGTGGAAGAATAAAAAAATACGAAAAAGTAAAAGGGAACAGCTTAGTGTTTTAGAAAGACTCCCTCGTCAATTAGAAATGGAAGAAAGTCAATGAGATATTATTTTATTACTGATGGAAAAATAAACTTTTATTTATTTGGTGAAATTATTGTTCAGAGCAAGATTTTTTATAGCTTTTTACATAAATTAAGAATTAAAATATAATTTGAAAATAAATTTAAATTTGGAAAACGCGCATATGCTTAAAAGCAGAAAGTCTGACGCAGCTAAGGTGACGAGAGAAGTGAGGTGGCGTTTTCACTCTCATTTCCTGCAACCTTCCTCCTTTCCCCTCACAACTATATATCTCACCATAAAGATTTTCATTCCTCTCACTACATTCTAAAATATGGAACCAACATGCGTCCACACTGCACTCAATCTTAACGTTGATCCTTCTAATTACATGGTTCGTATCCATAAATAACGTTCATCCTTCCATCTACTTTTACCATTTCTTTTACATTTCACTTCAGTTACATACTTAATAATTCAATGATTATCACATGTTTCTGAAATATAATGTTATTATTAGTTACAGATAACATATAAAAACATTTTAATAATTGCATCAAGTCTTATTCTTCTCTAAAATTCTAACACGTAGCATTGGATTGGAAATTTTGTGACCAGGTAGAGGAATTGGCTGATGAGCTGCGTCGCCTAAGTCGTGAGAATAAGAGGTTGACTGAGACGTTGACCCACATGTTTGAGAACTATCAGACTCTGCAAAAGCAATTGTGCCAATCGATCAACTCCAATTTTGAGCAAGACCCAACACAATCACGGAAGAGAAAAGCTGAGAGTGAAAATTGTACCAACAAATCTGGTATTAGATGCAACATTAACACTCAGTGCAGCACCATAACTGAGGAAGAGTCATTCAAAAGGTACAAAGATATCACCTCCTCGCCTAAGGTTACCAAGGTTCTTGTCAAAACAGAAGCATCCAATACAAGCTTAGTAAGTTTCCAAATATTTGTCTTCTCTTCCTAGGAACTTATTTAGGCCGTCTTCATTATTTTATCTTTAAAATAATATATACTTAATTTATAAATTTAACTTGGCCCAACAACTTCATTGTTTTGTATACATATAATATAGTTTTGTATCTATATTAGGAGTAAATTTTGGGAAGATTAATGAATTCCAAGTGCTAACTGAGAATCCTGAATTGATTTTTCTTTTCTGGGTATGAAGTATGTGATGGACGGATATCAATGGAGGAAATATGGTCAGAAGGTCACCAGAGATAACCCCTCTCCTAGAGCTTACTTCAGGTGCTCCTTTGCCCCAAGCTGCCCCGTGAAAAAGAAGGTAATAAAATTTTCATAATTGGATTAGCACCCTCTATGTTGTATCCACAATAATCAACGATTTTAATTGGTACCCATTTAAATTGAAGCATCACAAAACAAATATCAAGTTTTATTTGATCAATTTCATCATTATCAAATATCAATTATAGGTACAGAAGAGTTTAGAAGACCCCACTATATTGGTTACAACATACGAAGGAGAGCATAATCATGGTCATCAACGAGCTGAAGTATCACTTGTCTCGAGCCAAAGTGAAGCCCCTAGAGGGTCAGGTCCTGGTTTCTCACCTAGTACACCCATAATTGAAAGTTCTTGCCCCACCATAACGTTTGACTTGGTCAAGTCAAGATTGGTTGACGATGCCCAAAAGTCCTCTATCCATCAAATTTTGGTTCAACAAATGGCTAATTCTTTGACAAGAGATCCCAATTTCACCGCAGCACTTGCCACCGCCATTTCAGGAAAAATTGTGGACCAAAACCCTATGACCACACATCTTTAGGAACATTAATTTTCAAAAATAACCGCTTTTTAAACTCTAAAAATTTATTAAGACGATTATTTTTTCAAGTAATTAAGTTGTAATGGAGAGAATTATGTTAGTTTGGCTCCTTTTAGGGTGACAACAGAGTCCAATAGTAAGAAAATGTATATATAAAATTCATGTAAAAAAAAACAAGTTCAAATTCTGTTTCTCTCAATATTGCAGCCCCACTATTTAATTTCTATAAATATAATTTTATTTCATTGTATTTTCTTAAAAAATACTTTGATTCTCATAAACTTTTTAATTATTTCTTATAATTATTTAATAATAACATGTCATATGTTACATCAGCAACTATATTTAAAATAAGATGACGCATGAGAACTAAATACATGGCATTCCACCACTAAATAGTAATAATATTTTTTTAAAAATTAAACTAATAAAAATTTTGAAGGCTCAATTTTTATATAGAAATGTCAAAGTGGGTCAAGTTTGACGGGTCAATCCGCTAATTAACTTGTTAAAAATGACAGATTAGGTTGAATATTTTGTCCTGACTAACTCGTTTAATCTGTCTTGTTTTAACCTGCAAAATATGAATTAACAGTAAATTAGTTCGTTAAGCTCATTTTTAATTAAATATTATTTTTAATTAATTTTTTTATTTTTGTGTTATTTTAATTGGATTAGTTCATTAATGCATTAGCCTATCAACCCCTTTCTATTTTTTTGGTATATAGTGGAATGCCCATTAGTTTGTTAGTCCACCCTTAAACGAGTCGAGTTATAAAATTTAATTCATTTTCAAATTGGGACACAGGGAGAGAAAGTGGACATGACTGACCCGTTTTAATACCTTTATATCTTGTTTAGAAATACACATACACGTTGTTGTATTAAAATTATAGAAATATAATTAATATTTTTCTTTTTAATACTTTTTCATTATTAATTGCTTACCTATGATCTAAAGGTGGGTGGTAATATTTTTTTATATATATTTATAAATATATAATATGTTAATTTTAATAAGGTATTGAATAATATTTTTTTAAATTTTATAGATATAATTTATATAATTAAAATTTTAATTTAACAATTAATTTTAAAATTAAATTATTTAATATAAAAATATTAATTAGGTGAAAACAAGTGTACTGATTTAATATCTCTATCTTGTGTGCATAGACTCACACGCTCTTCTGTTGAGTGGCAAAGTTTTTATGAACAATATTTTCAATTTTAAAAGACCGCCACATAATCAGACAAACGTAGATTTTCTCTTCGAAGAAGTAACATTGACACATGTTAGATGACAAACGAATATTGTAATATTATTATTATTATTGTTTTTATTTAGCTTAAACATAATTATATCTAGTACATGATATTTATAGTTTAAAACAAAATATAGGAAACTTATTTTAAACAATATTTTTCTTTAAAAATTATTTTAACTTAATTACATAATTATAAATATTATGTATAAAGATTTAATATAATTAAATGATTATAAAATATAATTTATTTTAAAATAATCCTTTTATTGCATTGCATGGAATCAACGGGTAGAAGTTGTTTTAACTTAACTTGTGATTTTGGGTTCAAATTCTAGAGACGGAAAAAGAAACAAAAAATAAAGAAGATAAAGAAGAAAAGTTGAAAAAAAAGTTGAAATTGGAACTTTAGGAAAAAGAAAACGATAAAAAAGTGCATAAAAATTGAGGAATAATTTATCATTACATCCAAAATTGATTATTAATCCATAAAACTAGTCTCATTTCCTTTTTCATTCTTACTTTTATTTGACTAACTATCATGTGTTACTGTATTGCATTATGCTTTACGTTTTTGCTCTCAAGTTTGTTCAACATTCACAGTGTCATTGGCCATTAATGTGTTATGACTAAATTTACACAACACATCTAAATCTATTTCATGTCAGTGAATTATCCAGACTCATAACTCGACGACCTATGCAACTAGTTGAAAATAACGATGAGAAAAAGTAAATTGATGTTGATTTGTTCAATCATGCCTCCAATATGTTTTCTAGATATCAAGCTCAAATTATTCAAATTTGAGAAGTTCAAAATTGTTTTTTTTATTTGATAAACTTAATAATATATAATACTTTTGTAAAATTTTAGAAGTTTGTAAAATTTGTATGGATTACTTGTCTCCTAAACATTATTTGGATTTATTTTAATATTTTTAAACTTATTTGATAATTGTTTGGTTAATATTAGTAACTACTAAAAAGTAAATATAAATAATAAAATATTTGATAATTAAAATTTTTTATTAAAATTAAATTTAGTTTATCACTACTAATAATTTTATCTCATTTTCACTCTTCTCTTTTTAAACAAATTATATACAAGTGCAAACCTTAGATTTCTTTCCTTATTTAATTGTCACAATATATTAATTTAACATGATGTATTTTTTTCAGTTATTTAATATATTTTAGTTAATTTTATGTTAAATAATTTTAATTCAATCAAATATTTAAAGTTATAAACTTTCAATTATATCTTATAAAATTTTTATTTACTTATCAACCGTAAATTATGTAGGTTAAGTTTGCATAAAATTTTAGGTTAAGTTGTTTTTTCTAAAATTATAAAAAATAAATAAAAATTGTTTACAAGTTAAAAAGAATTATCTTTTCAAATTTTAGAAAAATTAAATAAGAGAATTTTTCAAAAGTTAGTAAAATATAAATTATTATTTTTTATACTTTTTTTCGTTAATGAAAATATCTTCAAATGTTTGTTTTCACACATGAGATGGGGTAAATATAATAAATGGGAGCCATAAATATCCATGTCACGTGATTCACATGAAGAATGAAAAGGCATACGTGAACAAATACAAAATACAATTTATTAATCGCATGAAGAATCAAAATCTTGCATTTTTTGTCCAAGTTCCACGTGCTTTAATATTCGGATTTTTTAACTTCTTATCATACTCCTATCTATCTATTGCATTAAATTATTTTTTACTCGTTTATTATCTTCTTTGAAACATATATTAATTATTAAGCATAAAATTATAAAAAATAATAATTTATTAATTATATAAAATGATAATAAAAATAAGTGAAATAAAATTATCAAAACAACGGTGGGGATGTGAGGACGATGGGAAAGTTCAAGTCGAGTTACGTGCATGGATTGTATTCCACTTACAGTAATTACTATTTATTGTCGTTTACAGTGTGAGGTTTTGTCGGCTTCCACAACCAATGAATTTTCAGTGTAAACAAAGACTCTTGATTCTTGCGCCGCCCATCGAAAGTGTTTCAACGCGCTACCAGGGGGGACTCCAATGTTCCTATTTCTATGGATATTACCGTTTGGCTACATCAAAGTCTAAAACCTCTTCTTCTTAATCATATCTAAACGGGATTTCTGAGTATAAACTAAGAAAAATAATCATTATACACACTCATTAGATGTGTATACTTACTGTGAAGTAAGAAAAGAAACAAGTATAAATATGATAAATAATTTAATGTGGTAGAAATAGAAAATTTAGAAAAATGAAATAAAAGAGAAGTAAGAAAACTGTAAATATTGTATATTATAATTTATTAAGTAAATAAGTTAATTATCCTTAAGATTATATAATTCAACCCTTTATTCTCATCCAGTTAACATCTGTTAAAGTTTGATGGATGAAAATAATTTGTCATTTCTTTCTCCAAATAATTACGTTGCGCATCAATTGATACGTAAATCAACCAAAAATACAATCAAATGTTTTTTGATGAGTTTCAATCTATCTTCATGATTTTTTTTTCAAAGAGAGTTCATGAAATGAGTGGCAACTTCTAGTTTCTGCCCAAGCATTAGGATCTTGTTAATTTGAAGAGAAAATTCGGTTCATGTTCACGATGCTCGACCCTTATGTTCATTGGTGGTTGCTCTTGGATTTTCTTCACATTTTAAGCCATTCGATGAATATGTCACTAGTCTTGCGTGTCAAATTCAACTCGTCACCCGCATCTTAAGGCACTAAAGACAATTGCACTGAGTCATTGTACATCTGGAAAACCTTGACCTTTTTATACATCAATCTGAAAACATGGACCATGCGATATGAAATTGGAAAATGGATTTTTTTTTTCATTTATCTTTACATATTGTAGCTTATATGTCCCAGAATTATGAAATTTATATACGATAAAATAATTATATAAAATGAGGTGAATTGTTATTATTACATATTTGCTTGTATATGTAGAGTCGCTATCAAATGATGCATAATAATCAAAGACTTAAAATGAGTCTATTAATTATCTTGGAACCCAGGAACACGTTGGAGACATTATGATGAAAAGGAAAATAAAACTTTCTTTTCAAACGGCAAGTGTCATGCCTGTGACATCGAGGGATTACATCATTCTGCATACGTTATAGGAGTAGAAAATATTGGCTCATTGTGAAACTGTTCATAGCAATAATCTTAGTACATAAATCCAATCACTCTATATTTTTCTAACACATGGAGTTGAATTGAAAAATTCACTCATAACTAAGACCCTACTCTGGCCACCTCTCTTTTCATACAGATGTATCATTTGAACATTAAGAATTTATATTGTATATAATATTATCTTCAATTATTTTAGTTTTTTTTTATATATGTTTATATATATATATATATATATATATATATAATACACTTTAAAAAAATAAAAGAGACACTTCTAAAGTTGTTAAGAAGAAACATTATATTGCTTTTCATGTGAGGGGCAGAAGAATTATTAAAGAAAGCAAGGGCCAGAGGTTGGAGAGTTTTGGCCACATATATAAATGAATAGATTTCCTTTCATCTTACTCAACCTTCAACCACCCCCATTCTGTTCTAATTTCTATAAAAAATTAAAAGGCTCCTCCATTATTTGTTATTGTTGTCTTATCACACTTTCAATTAATAAAGATAAATTCTCAGTTGTGATTGAAGGTCGTTTAACTCTTCAACCTACTATCACAATGGATCATAAGGTATACTAGCTGGTTCCTCCTTTTTCTTTGCTTCTTACTCTTGTTTTTGTATACCATAACCATATCTGTCTATAGATATATATGTGTGTGTAGAGAGATTCAGAAACACATACTGAATATGAAACTATTCTAGTGAACATTTTTTATATAAGGATGAAAACATATGTAGCTAATGCTTAAAAGATTATAACAAACAAAGTTTGATGATTAGGTGGAAACTCTGAAAGCGGAGTTACAAAAGTTGAGAGAGGAGAATACTGCTCTAAAACTGATGCTTGAAGTTCTGACCAGAAAGTGCACAAAGTTTGAGACCCAACTTCAAGAGATCAACAAGGTAGAAAACAAGGGCATGAGCTCAAATCATTTTGATACAAACAAGAGAGCAAGACTAGAGTTTCCAACAACTAAAAAACCACAACAAATCTTTGTCAAAACACACCCCAAGGATGATAGTTTGGTATGCTATGCCCCATTAGCACTAATTTGGTTCTGTAACCATCAAATTACTTCAATTATTATAATGCCCAACTTCTTTATGTTTATACAAATTTTCCTTTGGGAATATAGATAATTAACGACGGCTATCAGTGGAGGAAGTATGGGCAGAAGGTTACCAAAGAAAATGCTTCACCTAGAGCTTACTTCAGGTGCTCCATGGCTCCTATTTGCCCAGCCAAAAAGAAGGTTTATTGTATTAACATATCATAATTTCATTTGGTTCTATTTTGTTTAAGCAATACAGATGACTTTATGTCATTATGATGATTTAAAATAGTATAATAAATGAAAGCACAAGTTAATAAAATGCTTATATAAACAACTAGGCCATGTGTAATATTATATATACATTGACATATGATTACACAATTAGGGAACTGATCGAGAGGAAATACAAACTTTTGTAGTCAACAGTTAGGTGTAAAGTTAAGATTACAATCCATTTCTTTTTCATCATGTACATGTATGATTTCAAGAAACTTGCAAGGTTATTATTGGTTTTCAGTGTGTTTATTTTGTGTAATTTTATGTTGCGTTTGGGGAGAAGAATTCTAAATTATTAGATTACATGAATTTGGATTAAAAATAAAATATTTTTAAAATATTTTAGAATTTTAGTTAAAATTTTTTATATGAAGTACAAAGAATTGTAAATGACACGTTTTTAGAGAAAATTTAAAATGTCCTCTAATATATTTAACTTCTTTATATTGATCATTTATAATCTTTTTCATATTTAATTCACATTTTAGTTATTCTTCATTATTGATATTATATTCTCCAAAATTTTAAAACTCTCTATCCAAACCCACTTTAATGAATAATTTGGCGACATAATTGTGGTTTTAAGACACCCTTTAACCTTACTACAATTAATCATTTCAGGTGCAAAGATGCATACATGATAATTCTATCCTTGTTGCAACTTATGACGGAGAACACAACCATGGTGTCCTTCATGAGTCATTGCGACCATCTTCATCAACACCTAAAGGCTCATTAGTTGCTAACAAGTTGCCTCTGACAAGCATACCAAATGACAAAGAGGCAATGAACATTGACTTTGCGCTTTCTAGTTGTACTCAAACAGATAGGAAAATTTCTGAGGATGCCATGCAAAAGTTTGAAACTGGAAGCAACATCAAAATTGAAGAATATGTAAATTCTCTAATCAAAGATCCTGATTTCACTCTGGCGTTAGCTGAAGCAGTTGCCCGCATCATCACTGGCCAACAAAAGCAACAAGGTCTAAACCTCAATTTGGATCTTCCTGAAGAGTGAGATGTATCATTTTTGTCCCCAACCCCGAAGCCAATATGCAAGTGTAAAGATGGCTTTTAGTTCAGTAAATGGTAGGCTGGTAGCACTGAAAAGTGAGGAAAATTTCCTTAATTTCAATGCATAATGTAGGATTAGGAATATAAGTGCTACGTTTTTTACCTTAGCTTATTACTTCATTTGATCATTTGAAGATGTAAAATAATGGCACAAATGAGACACAAGAGTTGGTCATAAACAAGTATTCCTCCAAGGGCTATTTAATAGAAAAAATGGCTGAGATTTGATGCATAGTAAATCCTTGTTCGTTTCATGGAGTGTCTATTATCACTTTTATGCTTTTATTGGTACTTTTATTTAAGAAATTTTATGTGAAATACCCTTACTATTAATATGACTATAAAATAAAAAATGACATTTTAGACAAAATTCACTTAAATAAAAAAGACAATCGATACTTAAGAATAGCAATAGACACACCCTTCGTTTCAAAGTTACAATATTAATTTTCATATTTTTTTTAATGAAAAACACATGTTCTAATGTATCTGTGGTTCAAATTTATACATGCATTTCAATCACATTCGATTGTTAAAAATTAATTCTATAAAACTCTAAACCAAATGGACAAATAAAATAAAGCAGTTACTAAATGAGAACTTCAAATAAACGGATGGATCAGTAAAATGAATAAGTTGTATTCTAACAAATACCACAATATTTACAAAGCATTTGTCTTCACCAGTGCATGTAGAGCATAAGGGCTTCAACTGAAAACTCAGTATAGGTGCCTTCTAAGTGCTCTCAAGTTAAAATAAAACTTAAATACTACTCTATCTCATGTGAAAAAAATAAAAATATCACTGGATCAGCATTTACATTGCTATTATGAGTACCCAAAATTTTGGACTGGCAGGGCAAAACTATATCACATACTTTGTACACCAAAATAGTTCACCATGCCTCACTGAAATGAACACCATGAAACTGCTTTTCTGCTGGACATGGAACAAATTGAGATGAAATCAATGTAATAACTCATGTCCACTTGTGTATACATCTTAGCATAAAACGAGCTTTGAGAAGGCTTACTACTTAAAATGAATATAATCTATGCCACAAGCATTACATTTCTCGCATTAGAGAACTTCAGTTGTTGGGTGATCATCAATGTTAATAATGCAGCCAAGAACAAGGTGATTTTGCACTTGTTCAAATTGTTTTCTTCATCCAAACACATGGCAACTTTTTCACTGTGGAACATATCTCTTTAACAGCTTGAGGCCATTAAAAAGGAAATCTGATCACTTAATATTCCCACTCTTGATGGTGGTTCTTATCATATTTTCAGGCTCTTTTTTAGCAGCCAGTTTCAACATCTCATTTTCTGCTTCCTTCTCTGCTCTCTTTTTCTCTAATTCAAGCTGCTTGCAATTTTCTTCATGTGCTCGAACGAACATTCTCACAAAGTTGAGGAGAGTAGATACAACTAGAGAAAAGAAAAGAAAAGAAATCAAATGCCCAGAGGTTGCCATGGTGAAAACAATGGTTTTCTTTCTATCACAATCATATTGATTCAACTATGCTCATATTGACAAAAGCTTTCAGAAATCTTAGGAAGGCTTTTCACTAGAGAATTCCATTTTGATTTTTGAAAGTGGTTATTTTCGGATAAGGTGGTATACAGTACTGCAGTATTATGATTTAATCTAATTTCAAATTTTGATAATTATATTATGTTTGCAGTTTTTTCTCTTTTGCAACACTTCTTTAGCATAAAAAAAAATGGAATAATGATGCTGCAGAGGGTGCAAAATTGGTGTCCTTAAAGTTACGAATCATACTGAAGTCCCCTGAGATCCACAACAAATTCTAAACTAGGTTTTTGAAAGAGAACACCGGCAACAGTGGAACAATAAATGATAATGTAGACTGATTAAAAATAGCTAGTTACCTTGTTCAAATGGGCAGCGTGCCGGATCTTCTCCAAAGTATAAAGCCAATGCATCTGCATTTCTACCCTGGTACATACAGATTCAGAAAATCAGACACATCCCTCGTCATACCTAGAATAAATCATGTAAGCTAAAAAAACTATCTTCAAAAGGAAAGAATTAAATCCATACCACATTGGCATAAAGTTGAGCCAAAGATCTAACTTCAGCCTCAGCATCAGAAAGAAATTCCTTCAGAATCTGAACATTACCAATAAATAAATAAAAGATAAAATCACTCAAAGTAGAGAAAAACATTTATCACTGTTAAGGACAAAGAAGTCTATAATTCGGATAAGTTCTGAATAACCATAATAGAAGGGTAACTATGCCTCTGGGATCCTTCACATCACTGTTAATCCTATATATGATGCAGCATAACTGACCCAGATTTGCATAATCTGTTGCAATAGTAGCTTTGGAGTTCCATTGTCACAATATTAAAAGCCAACATAAATTTAAACATCCGTATTGTCATATTCTCATTCAGAAAAGGAGGTGCTTTCAAATGCACCCTTTGCTTATAGCATGTCAATGTTTAGCATGCCAATATTTACATTGATGTTTGTAGCTTGTTTAGCCTAAGGCCCTAACCCAGGCTTCTACATTAATATTTTAATCCAAATCGTCAGAATTCAGATGTTTGGATCAGTTCAATTTGATTGAAGTATTTAGATGACCTGCGCCATATTGTACCTGGCAGAAGCTTTCTGACACAGGCCCATCATTCTCTGATGCAGTCAATTCTTGAACTACTTTCTCCAGTCCTTTACTAATAGCTTGCATTTCCTCTGCCAAATATTTCAGTTGTATCTGTATGGAATACATGCTTATAACTTAGCATACATCAAAATCCAAAGGAGAAAGAACTGAAACCACCTTATATGAGAGTAGAATAAACCAAGATACCTTGGTTGATGCCTCCAAACTTACTAGGTCTTTAGGGAAATCTAATAGTTCTGGAAGCTTTTCAGCAAGCACCTACATTTTGTCAATCATCACAACAAGTACAATCTGACTTATTTCAAAGGAAAACACTGTCCCAAAATAGAAAAATTCACTCAGACTTCCATGGGCTGATAAGCTCAATGAGAGAAATTTTGTAGACAAAACATACATCAGCATTTAATCTCTCAGAACTACTATGAAATAGTGATAAGTTCATATTTTGATATATTTTATAACTTATATTTATACACTTAAACTCTATTTTATATATATTTACACTAATTATGTTATTAATTATTGCATTTTAGCTAGAAGTTGTTATTAGTGCATTATGAAGATATTCTAAATAAAAATTAAATATTTTTAGTCTTTGGCAGTGCTATGTGAATCTGAGTTTAAATTTTGAATTTAAAATTTAAACTTAAATAAAAATTTGGAGCAGTTTCAAGTTAAGATTCTGATTGTGGATAAAATTGATTTGAAAAGATAGAACTCAACCAATTGAAAACTCAAGACACAGTCTATATAAAGAGGCCTTATACTTCACACTTGACACTTCCACTTTTCTACACACATTTTTCCCCTTCATAGTTCTATCCAAACTTATCGTTGAGAGTCATTGGAGATCATTGGCAAAGACGACAAGCTTTCCCTTGGAGTCCAAACAAGTGATTGAGCGCCCTTTCGGAGAACGAGAACTCTCTTCGTCTTCTACCTTTCTGGATTTTTTTTGTTTGAATTTTTCTTTGTAGTTATGGGTTTATTTAGCACATTCTTCGTAGTTTATTTTGTTATGAGTAACTAAAAGTTATGGTAGATCCTACTACAAACTTCATATGATTTTTACTTTAATGTTAGTATTGATTTTTCTTTAATGTTTTGTTTTATTCTATTGGATTATATTATGTATGTTAAGATTTGATCACTCTTAGCATCTCATAGTTAGTTGCACTGTAGGTGATCGTATCACATATAATTAATAAAACTATAGGATAGAACTAGATAAGAGACTAGATTAATCATACTTAATTATTTTCTTTCAGCCGTTATTGAATTAACAAACTCATAAGATCTTCATACTTTCTTGACCAATTACCTTGCATGATCATTGGAGATATTTGCTCAGGAAAAAGAATATTGACATTGCATAAGATCTTAGGCTCATCTTATCTGATTTCTCTCATATATTTTATTACTGTTCTTTTAATTTATTATTAAAATTAAACTCTGTTTTTATCCGTTATAATCTCGTTACGTTTAAACAATCAAATTAAATTATTCTTGATACTTGAAAATAATCTCAGTGAGACGATAACTTAAAAACTTTTAATTTGAAAACCCTTTATTACTTTTCGATAGGTACATTTATCTACAAACAAATAGTGTCACATTTTTTAGCATCAAGTTAATTCTAAGGGTTTAATAAGCAAAGAAATACGAAACGTCCACATTGCAATCAGTGTTACTACAATTTGACCATATTTTTTTGCGATGACTCAAAGTGAGCATCATCAGAACAATTTGGTACCACAAGAGGAAGGCTTCTAAAGATTCAGATTTCAGTGCATTTCCATTGCTTAATGCCCAAAAAAAGAAATTCAAATTCTTCTCAGCAAGCCAAGAGGGTGTGATACTTGAGATGCATGTTTATCTTGAAAAGAAAATGATATCCTCCATATGAATCAGGACTTTCTACCGTAATGGGTTCTTTTCTTTCAAATACATCTATCCTTTAATACTTTCAATCTTGTTACATTCTGAATTATTTTGTTTTTCTTCTTTGAAGAGAAAACCTCAAAAAATAAATAATTAATCTTAAAATTAGAATTCAAGAATCCTCTGTCCTTGAGTTAGCATTTGGGGTTAAGTTAGGTTAATCTATTCACAATTCTAATATGACATTAGACCTATTTAGTCCTTGGACCACCTTTAGATGTCCAATCTTGAAAACTTCATACTCCAAAGATCCCACATTGGCTAAGTATAAGGTCAAAGTACTCCTTATAATGAATTGGACAATCCTTCACCCCTCTAGCTTATGCACTTTAATTGGGCCCAATCCATTCTCAATTCTTATTTTCGCACAAGGGGAAAAGGAGAGTGATAGATAGTCGTTGTCATAACTTTACAATTTAATCAGTAGCAGAAAACAAATAACTTCAATGGAAGTTTGTCAACATATGCACAGGCAAACAGACAAATTATATGCCAAGGAAATCTTAGAATAAACTATGAAGTACTCAATTAAATTTATTACTTAGAGCATTTCACCAATCAATACAGCAATATAACACTAAGAAATGAAGATGTTTTTCAGAAAACAAGATAATTTTACTTACGGTTTTTCCAGAGGAGAAAACTTTTTGTGCATGAAAAATTCATATTGAAATTGAACGATATCAGGCATGTACCTTACAAAGGTAATGCATGAGAGTCATCTTGTTGTTTCTGGCTCGTGTATCCGTGAGTTTAAGGAGACTATCTAATCGGAACCCAACAGCAGAACCTAATAATCATACAAATTAACTAGTAAGAGAGAAATCAAGGCTACAATGATTTGTTCCAATAAAATTATATTCATCAATAGACCAAGAGTAAATGTCAAACACTAACTACAGAATGCACATAATTTATGACTTAAGAGTAACTGGAAAATTCATGCTTCATTTTTAACTTTTTATAGGTTGTTTACCCATAATGCTTTGTGATAGTGAAATGGTGAATGCTAAAGCTTTAAATCACCTCTTGCAGTTCCATGGTTCAAAGCATTTCCTAGAGAAAGAATGGTCTGCATGATTCTTTTCAACTTGACTGAATTCCTTATCTGATACACATGCTAAAGGATATGAAGAGAAAAAGATATTGAAACGGAAAATAAAGTATTTAAGAAAAATATGTATGACTTACCTCTTCAGATGCAGAATTTACAATATTCAAGTCCCTTCTAAGCTCTGAAACCTACATGAATATTATGTAGCAAAGGGAACCAGAGCAGCTAAATTTCTAATGGTGAGAAAAATTAATTATTTAATAAACAAAGGCATTTCATTGTTGTCTTCTGACCTGGGAGCGGAATTGCATCTTGAAAGAGAAAACTCTTAGCTTGTTTTCCACTCTTGGCACTTTCATTAATTCTAAGAAGAACTATCACAAAATGCAAAAGCAAATAAGAACAAAATAGAAGGGGAGAAAAAAAATCAATCTTGAAGGTGATTTCCAAAAACTACATATACCAAGTTAGCCAAATTTGGAGAGTTTCAACTCATATTTAAATACTATCTCAAAATTAAACACTGGCTGTAAAAGTTTATACACAGATCTGCATTGAAAAAAATTGACAGTCAATTGTATGAGTCACCAGGGAATACTGATCAATTTTTTATTGTTCCATTAACACTAGACTGACTAGTCATCTAACCACAAGTTGCCTGAAGTGGGGGAGAAAAATAGTTAAAGAAAAGAGGCACAAACATTAAATGTCCACTCACCTGTTCACACTTTCCCAAATTGTCCTTATCTCCAGTATAGCCCTGCATAATATAAAGTATTGCTATGGCTCAAATAAACATAGATTGTTACAAAGTTATTCATGCTAACCCAATGAAATAAAGTTCTGGTTGATGAAGAAGAAAAGTTTTGATACCCTGAGCAATTCCATCTCTTCTTTGGTTGGACAGAACTTTATGAGGTTCTCAACTTGATCAACATCTAATACTGAATCGTCCAATGCAAGCACAGCACTCTAAAGACAATGGTGTAAAGCATGTGCGAGAACTATTAGAAATTGGCATGTTTCTCTGTGATACAAGGCATTCCTTTCTGATTAACTGAGTTGTTTAAATTTGGGATTTTCATTGATAATTCAAAACAAAAGGGCATTCAATAGTCAAGTAGGAAATTAATTATATGATTATAAATAAGCACCACAAGAAGCAGTCAATGACAACAACACTTTTAAAACAAGCGAAAAATAAGATGACTATCATATTTACTTTATAAAAATGCATCAGGAAAAGAAAATGGCTTAACTCAAAGCACTTCGCTGGTTCTGAGTTAATAAATACGACAAATTATTGAACTAAAAGTTTAATATAATAATAAGACAATAACAACATAAGAAATTTCATAATTAACACAAAATTATAGCTTATGCAACCTGATAGAGCCCAATTCCAGATTGGTCCTATTGAGCCATTGGCCCATGAGACAAAGTCATTCCTTAAGAAATTGTTAGTGTACTCACGGAAGAAAAGAGGAGGAGCTGACATCGCATGAGAGAAGGGGGTGCAGGCAGTTAGAGGAGAGAGAGTGGGATATCTTTCTGTTATTTAGGGAATGATGTGAGGTTGTGGAAGGGGGGCTGTTTTTCTGATATCTTGGGTAGAGGAAACTTAGTGGTTTCTCTATTAGTAGCATTGCTCTGGGCAGTAAGGAGTCATCCTTCTTACTATATTTCTTCTTTTGTCATTAATACAGGATCAAAGTCTATTTTCTTCTTCAATTCTTTGTTTCACTTTTATATTTGTTGCTTGGGATCGTATTACAACCCCTTCAAAATGACATAATAAATGCAAGCACAATTCATGAAATAAAGTTAAAAAAATTTAATCCTTTCTTTTATTTCATTTGGTTGTCAATATAATCACAGTTGTTCAGGTATCATCTAACTCAAAATGGTAGCTGCCCAGGTTTACATTATTGAATATCCAACAGCCATAATACAAGGGAATTACATTCATTTTCAAATTTAAGGGTGTTCAAAGGGTAAATTGTGTCTGAACTAGAAGGTTATAAGACAGTAAATTGAATAAATCAGGCTAACACTAGGAGCACTCAACCTATATTGACCATGCATTGTAAACCCAACCTAAATCAATCTTGTGATGGTTGGTTTGGGTTAGGCTTGGCCATTTTATTATACCTTTCGACCATGAGAAAAATATTGGAACAAATAAATCACATATGTTACTTATGTTGTGAAGTATAATAATTAGTGTGAAACATGCATCTTCTTTGGGATCCAGCTTTTCCTCCGTTTGTGAGTATCACCCATGGTTTTCATAATAACTCTTTACCAGCTATGCATAGAGAGAGAAGGGATTTTTAAGGCTCATGAACTTTATTTATTTATTATCATTCTGCTGTTTAAGGACAATTTGTCATCTTTTAGACTATTATATCTTTTCTCTCAATTACTTTACATAAAAAATAAAATGAAAATGTGTCAAGACCATAGCCTCATCTAAAAAGAAGAAAAAGCATTTAAAAAAATGAATTTATTATTTCAAAGTAAAATATAAAATCAAGGCCATATATTTAAATTAATGCAGTCATAACATCAGAGCATAAGCATACTGCTCTGATGCCATAACAGATATACTCATAAGCCGATGATGAGACTTCAGCAAAACTTTACACTTGCAATTGAACATCAACTAAGCCAAAATCTCAGCTCACCATAGTAGAGTAACTACTTTCTATGTCAAAATGTACCCGTTGCAGTGGAAGACCTATATTCATTTGAGGGTGGGAAATGCACCCCTTCATTTCAGCAAAAACTAAAAATAAAAAACACAATTTTTTTATATTTTGCAACCCCTATTTTTATAATTTTGAATCCACTAACCCAAATTCAATTGTATTTAAACTCATTAGGACTAGGTTCTTTATCTTTACAATTTTGAACTCATTAAACTTAAATTCAATTATATATTTAAACCTACTAAGATTAAACCAAAACTTATTTTTTTATAAAATTTATATCATAATAAATATTTATATATCTATCTTCATATCATGATAATTATCATTATTTTTATTTTTATTAAATTGCCCTTGTTGATCTAGTATCCTAGATCTGCCACTCCCCAATTGTGGGATTAAGATCCTCTCAAGTGGAAACTTCACTGCAAAGATGTGCAGTGTTTAATCCAGCCTTTAAATTTTATTAAAATATATTATTTAATAAAATTTTATATTTTAATAATATATATTTGATGGATGAGATTTAATGCGGTGGAAATGTCACTACAGAGGATAATTTTCCCCAGTCGTGACGACAAATTATTCTGGATTATCTATTCCTTAAGCAGTTACTATTTTAGGAATGTTTAAAACAGTGACTGAATTGTCATGAACTTTCCAGGGACATAAATTCAAATTAAAATGTTCCATTTACATGTGAATAAATACCATAAGAAATATCTCACCATCAAGTCAGGCAAAGGGATTTTGACTTTCGTAAGCATGATCTCACAGTTATATGCCCGCCTGAGCTCAATCTGCAAAATACATGAATCTTTTAGCAAGAGCTCTTGTTCTATAAGAAGTCCTGACAAGGATTCAACAGAAAAACTTTAGCCTCAATGAAAGGCATTAGACATATGAGCCAGAAGGCCAAGAAAACCTACACAGGTGGATCAAAATCAATTCACTAATGAAAAAGAAAATAAAATTATCATTCAGTTCCTAAAATGAAAAATATTATACATAGATGTGCACACTCCAGAAAAGCAGTGGAGTAAAATGTAATGTAGTTATTTAAAAATGTCAATTTCTAACAATTTTGTTTTTAAAACTAAATGTTTTAATTGGTTTAATTAACAAACATTAGAATGAGTAAAGGACTTTTTTGGACATTTTGGGTCAAAAAATGAAGATGTAGTAAAGCTACCCATCGTTTTAACTAGCAGTGGATATTAGTAAACTTTAGTAATTTTTAGTAAAAGTTATTTACAACAACCAAGTTAAGTCGCCTAAATTACAGTACAAGTATTAATGAAAAAAATGGCACACCAATTGAACTTTGTCAACTTTTTGCCCCGAGGCACGGCGATTTAATTTTCCTCCTTTTCCGTCATCAGAATTTGGAGCAACTGCAGAGAACAGGCTCTCAAGTTCTGACATGTCAAACTCTGGAGCCCTAACACAAAAATAGTAACAATAGTAAATAATGACCATAATTCATATAAGCTCAAACTTTTATAACAAAAGAAAAACAAAATCTTAGCATACAACTCATACCTACAAAACTCATCAAGTTTCTGTGTCTCAGCCCATAAGCTTCCTTGCATGGCCCTTGTTAATTTTAACCAATGATAAGGTTTCAGATTGCTCCTTTTAGTCTGAGACTGACCTTTGGGATTAGCACGCAACAGGCCACGTCCCTTTGCACCTAATGGAGCAGAAGGTGGTCCAGGAACTGGAGGTGCAGCAGTGCCAGGTTTTGATAACCCGGTGGCAGCAGGGGAAGGTGGTGGGGGTACAGGTGGAACATTTGTGGACTGGTTAGATGAAGAATTGTTGGATGCAGAAGCTGGAGGAGGAGGAGGTGGTGGTACTGATGGTGTTGGAATAGAACCAGGTGTGGTGCTAGAAAGACTAGGAGGTGGAGGCGGGGGAGGAGGGCCAGGCGTGCCAGACTTGTTTATACTTGATGGAGAAGAAAGAGTGTGGGAAGCTGAAGAAGGAAGCCCAGACAGCGGAGGAGGAGGAGGTATTGAAGATGATGAAGCCTGTTCAGTTGAAGATGGCGGCGGCGGAGGGGGAGGTGGAGGCGAAGGAAAGGAAGAAGGACCTTTAAATGAATCTTTGAAATCCGATGTCACTGGAAGGGAGGAGGGTAGAGGATGGGATAAAGATGAGCTCTCCATGGCAAAGGATGGAGAAGAAAGAGTTGGAGGTGGAGGTGGAGGTGGAGGAGGAGGAGGAGGAGGGCTAACCAATGATTTCTTATCTAAATCATGCATTGTATTTTCAGGGTGATATGTGACAATGGATTGCATCAATTTTGAAGTGGGTTCATGTTGAGGAAATGGAGGTGGCATAGGAGGAGGAGGAGGAAGACTAACTATTGATTTTTGACCTTTATCATTCATTGCATTTTCAGGGTGGTGTGTGACGACAGATTGCATCAATTTTGAAGTATGTTCATGTTGAGGGGGTGGAAGTGGTGGAGGTGGAGGTGGAGGTGGAGGTGGAGGAGGAGGAGCAATGGGTCCAGAAGTCTTTTCAGTAGAAGCAATAGCATCCATGGAAGATTTTGATGGTAAAGATGAAAGCAATGGTTGTGAGGATGCTGGGGGAACACTTGCAGGACTAGGCTCTACTGATTTTGGCAACTTGGAGACTGAAGGAGACAAAGTAGAAGGAGGAGATATCGGTGCATGATCCTGCAACACAGTTGTTATTCCAAGAGCTGATGGTGCACTATGATATCTTGAGATAGCTACTGGTGAACCTTGCAAGGAGTTAGATCTAGAAGTTGAAGCAGATCGAACAGCTGGACGGACCTGTGGTGAAATTATTTTAGATTGAGTGGGAAGATGAAGAGCAACCTGCAATTCTTGAGGTTTAATCTTCCTTTTAATTGAGTTTGCATCAGCGGGTGATTCAAGTAAGGGACTGTTTTGTTTCCTTTGAATTGTGGATGTGAGTCTCTTGATATCATTTTCTGAAAACACCGTTTGTTCTAGTTGTCCAATCTTCTTTTTCATTGAATTTGCGTCTATGGATGGTTGAATTAACGGAATAGATTGTTTCCCATGAGCCAAAGATGGAGGACAGTTGGCATCATTTTCCAACAATGACTTTGATTCTAATGATTCAGTATCCTTTTCCTTTGACTCTAATGGTCCCATCTTCTGTTTCATTGAATTTGCATCCACAGATGGTTCGATTAAGGGAATAGGTTGCTCCCCATGAGTCATAGATGTAGGAAACTTGGTATCATTTTTTACCAATGCCTCTGATTCTAATGATTCAATCTTCACTTTAGGAGAACTTGAATCTGCTGAGGGTCCAAATGAGGGAATAGGCTGTTTCCCCTGACCAGTGGAAGCAAGAGTCTTGATACTATTTTCAGGTGGTGCCTTTAAAGGTTCTTTTTTCTTTTCCATAGGAGCATCGTCAGATGGTTCAAATGAGGACATCAAAAGTTTCCCTTCAACATCAGAAGTAGGACATTTGGAATCAAATTCTGGCAGTGGCTTTGGCTCAAATTTGAATCTTCTATCATTTTCCAACAATGCCTCCAACTTTAATGATTTAAGCCCTTTTTCCTCTGATCCTAACAAATCAGTCTTCTTTTTCAATGAATCTGCATCAGTGATTGGTTCAATTGAGAAAATAGATTGTTTCCCCTGAGGTACAGGAGTAGGATGCATGGTGCCACTTTCCAAAAGTGCCTTTGATGATAACGATTCAATGTCCATTTCCTTGGATTCTAATAACCCACTCTCCTTGTTTATTGAATTTGGACCCATAAATGGTTCAATTAAGGGGATAGATTGTGTCCCCGGAGCCATAGAAGTAGTAAACTTGGGATCATTTTTCAATGATTGTTTTGATTCTAACAGTTCAGTGTCACTTTTAGTAGAATCTGAATCTGTTGAGAGCCTATATGAGGGAATAGGTTGGTTCCCCTGACCTAAACATTCAAGAGTCTTAACATTGTTTTCTGACAGTACCTTTGATTCTAATGGTTCTGTCTTATTTTTCACAGGAGTATCCCCGGACGATTCCAACGAGGATGTAGAAAGTCTCCCCTGAACTTCAGAAGTCAGATTCTTTGTATTGTTTAGTTCCTTAGAATCAAATTTAAATTTTCCAGACAATGACTCCTTTAGCAAGCTGTTTGCTCCAGCAGAACCACCACTGTCCAATCTTTCCAGAAGGATATTTGATGCCGTTATTTGTTGGAGAACATTCACTACCTCTGTCTTTGAATCTAGCCAGTCCACATTGCTGAAAATTTCCTTGACCTTAGCAAATGCTTCAACAGGTAGGCCTTCTTTCTCCTCAATACGCGGCAGATCAATTGAAATAACAGAAGACGAAGCATCCATATCTGAGAAAAGAACCTTCAACCAGAAATACAGCATAATTCCATATACATTAATTTGGTTGTATAACTAATCGTTATTAAAAACAAGAGAGAAAGAGAGATCAATACCTCCACTCTAAAATTTTTGGGGAAGTAATCTTTCGCATTCCATAATATGTCAATTTCATCACGGTTAAGCATCAAAATATTTGATCTTATGAATGCTGTATTAAACATCACCCGAAACATCATTTGTTCACGTTCCAAATCACTGTCCAGACTAATACACTCAAAAACAACATCACCTTGAACATGACAATGGATGTCAATCTTAACCAGTTCACAATCAGCCTGTATCAAATATGAATCAAAAAACAAATAAATAAACAAAGGGAAATGGGGAAAACAATAAATCTTTATTCAAGAACCCTGTGTAGGTGGAATATAAATAGAGGAAAGAAAAAACAGTGATACTGCATTTTGCTTCTAAGTTAGAACTGAGTTCATCAGTGCCAACTGATCAAATCCAGTGTAGTATAAAGAATAAACAAAATATCCAGATTGTAATTGCATTTAACATAATTTTATGTTGATTACCAATTGTATTTATGCAAATCATGAGAATTTCACTAGATCATTTTACGCAAATATTTGTCAACTTTGAGAGATAATTAACCCATGCAATGAATGGTATATATAACAAATCATAGCAAAATAATTGGCATACTCTCAATTCTTGTTTAGATTGGCAACCCATGGAAGATAATATTTCCATGCAGGTATTCTCCTTAAAAGCTCAACAGGTTATCATCCATTCTGTTCATGAACAAAGATGGTCCATTTCCTGCTCAAACCATCTCTCCTCATATCCCATCAAAGCCACCAGCCCCACCACCACTTTGCAACATTAACCCCTTCTCAATTTATATAGAACATTAAACATTTAAAATGCTGCTTCAAATGAATTGGCATGGTTCTAATTTTATTTAAATATATTGGGTAATCATCGCCTTCAGTTAGCGCGGTAACTTTACAATAAAAGTACCCAATTTTAAGAAAACAAAGAAACGATGTACAGTTTGATTACCATATGTATTTATATATGTTATCTTCCTGTCTGTATCAGTGTATCTGTATGCCAGTTCAATTTAAGAAAAGTACACAGCATTTTTTATGGTTGAAATTGAGATAATTAAACATATAATGGAAAGAACACCTCAATACAAGTAGCAAAAACAAAACTAAGGGCGTTAGGTTCATTATCTTGAATTATGATCATGCTTGAATTGTAAAAAGGCATACTAAATTAGAGTAAAAGGATTTAAGTATAACCTGCTTGTAATGCCGGACAAGTTTGCTCTTTTTTGGAGTTGAAAAGAGAACTTTGGGAGTCCGATCTGCAGGAATAAAAGGGTCCTGTCCATATATCCTAAATATAGGGCAGCAGCCACCCTCTCCATCCATATTAGGAATAAGTCTCATGATTACACAGTCCAATGTAAGTGCTCTATCAAGAGGAGGCCATTCTGAACCAACATTTCTTCTTGATATGTACTGAAGATATCTCAATTGTGAAGGTAATGGATTCAATGGTGACATCAACTGCAAAAGTTCTCGAGGAGCTTGCTTGTATATCATGTCTAGTGTTTTCTGCTCCCCTGTAAACATCTTTCTATAAATCAAGAGTGCAGCTAGCATAAATGCTAAAACTGGCCACCCACCTCGTTCACAATGCATCAAGACAACATTTTGTTGCCCAAGTTGAAGCCAGTTTTCACCTGACCTCAAGAAATGGTGGATCATCTCCATGGTAAGCAATGGACAACCTTCGTACTGTCGGGGATAGTCCATCACAGTCATATCATAGTCACACAAAATGTTTGAGATCTGGCTTTGGCTATCTCCCTCCCGCATGTTGAACACCATAAATGAAGCATCAGGGAAGTAATCACGAAGTTGCCCAATTATTCCCCCTATGTACACTTTATATTCATCTTCTTCCATAACATCCGTGGTAAAGCAGTAATCAAAGACTACAAATGCAACAACAAAATAATCACAATCACAGATATATGAGATTAAAATTCTCTAAGATGATGAAATGTACCAACTACCAACTAATATGACATGTCACTCATATAAGCAAAGTAGCAAGTTTCTAAAATCAAAAGGCCCAAATTTTGAGAGATTATAGTCATCAGGCAAGTATAGCTCAAGTTGTCAATTACCAGCTTCCAACAATCATCAATGCACAATATTCATAATTTATTAATACTGACTGCCTAAAGAAATAAAGCATCCATTCAGCTGAGTTGCAAACAAGATGTAAAGAGCCTATTGCACAACTAACATTTAGACTATAATAACTGCATACTGTACAACAAAAGCGTAGAAAAGTTTTACAATCCCCATTGTTCACTGTGAATCTGCAAAATGAGCCACATACATACCACAACCCACTAACACAAAATGCATAAAGAAAAGATGGAATATTTGCACTAACAGAACCAAATATTGGTCACATTATAGTATCCCCATTATTCACTTCAAATCTGCAAAATAAGCCATACATACCAGAACACCCCACCAACACAAAATACATAAAGATGAGATATTTGGGTATTTGCACTCAGAAGAAGCCAACACTGTTCAGTTCCACCAGAACCAACGCACCCACAAAAATGAATGAGGTAACAGAAAGCGTACCATAAACCCTTTCAGTGATTTCTAGAAGCCCATCAGGGGGCTTCTTATAGAAGAACTTGCGGAACAATGCCATTGTCTAGAAGATCCAAGAGGGTATGCTATAACAGCACTGATTCAACCCACATTGCATCCAAGCTCAAATTTTTAAGATCCCAGAAACCCCACCAAATGGAAATCATTTGCTATTGCAATGATCATGATGGATGGCATTGAAGGGAGTGTGTGTATTCAGGAATCAGAGGCATGGATTTTTGCTGGGTCTTTAAGAAACACTTTCTGGGAAATGTCATTGTCTTCACATGCACACTTAATCCATCTGATAGAAAGAGAAGGGGGGAAAACTTAGCTTTCAATCAAAAAAGACAAAAGAGTTTGTTATAAGAGGGGAAGAGAAAGTGGGTGGTGGGAATCTAATCTCAATCCACAGTGAAATATCATATTCAAAGGGAAAAAAAGAGTTGGACATTAGATAGATATGGTTAGTTGATGTAGGAAGAAGAACATTAGAACAACAATTTGGATCCGAGGTTTCTCTCTCTAAAGCAATCTGTGTCTCTCTGTCCGTTATCTTAATGTTTTGTTTTTATGAGAATAAGCACGTGTCTGGGGTGGATTGTGATCATGATGTGCCCAGTTTTTTTTTTTTTTTTTTTGACAAATTATGTTCATATAAAATAAATTTAAAAAAAGTATACAACAAAGGAGACATATTAAAAAAAATGTAAAATAAAATAATCAGCATAAAAGATATTAGTTAAAATGTTATTAAATGTACATTTATTATTCTATTATGATTTTTAAAAGATATTGATTGGTAAGAGTTAACAATTAACGTGGCAAAAAATAAAAAAAAATTAATACTTTTATAGAAAAAGTGTTTTGAAATTGTTATAAATAAATAATATAACTTAATATTTTCTTTCACTTAAGGTTAAGGACAAAAAAACACAAATGGATAAGATCCGTACTAGGTTGCGGCAATATGGGGTTTCCTCACTTCAAATATAAAAACATTGGTTGGCACAAGGCATTGCCATGTTAAACAATTTATCCAAACAGATACGGGATCATGGTTTTTATATTATTTTATTTTTCTCTGAAACGAGTTTTGCAAGTTAAATTTTAACAAACAAATCAAATTTAACCTCTAAAAATAAGTAAATATGAAATTTGGAAATAAACAACTGCCTCATAAAATTCATTTCTAAATTTTTAACTTAATATTAACATAAAACAATGTTTTAAGCCTTTAGTAGCTTCTAATTTCTCGAATGCCTACTAATAAGGTATGCTCAGAGTACGTTTGATAAATAAGATAGGATAATATATATATATATATATATATATATATATATATATATATATATATATATTTATTTATATATTTATAAGTTGAATATAAATTTGATATAATAAGACAATTATTTTGTTTTATTTTATATTTAATGTGTATTAAAATAACAAATTGGGTATATTATATTATGTTACTTTAATACATATTTTTTTTATAGGATAAAATTTATACGAAAAAATTATTTAGAATTAACTCTTTTATCTTCTTCGATTACGAAAGTACTTGAGTTTCTTTTCTTTTTTTTCTTTTGAAAAATATATATATTTTTGTAATACTCTTTAATATTAGAGTAAAGATAATTTTTTTGAAGATTCAAATTTCATTACATCTTTTAGTTGTATATAAATTTTACTTTTTTTGTGCTCTTACTTTAAAAAAAGTTGTTTAATTCTTAACAAGTGAAGCATAAGCATATAAGTATTATAGAAAATATTTTAGCTTCATTATGAAAGCAATTTTAAAATGAGTAAATTTTCAAAATAATCCTTCAACTTTTAAAGGTTATGTAATTTGGTTCTTAAAGTTTTAAATTCAACTTAACATATTGTTAGTGAACATTTACAAAATATTGAATTACTATATTGTGTAATAAGTAGATGTCATTGTATCTGAGGAAGTTAATATATTCATTGTAGTTCTAAAAAGATAATTTATAAAATATTTTTCTTTGACTCTTTCCTTTTTAATGTGTGATTCTACAATTAACTAAGTTATATTTCTTCTTCATTTTTCACCAATTTAGAGCAGTCAAATTATCTCATTTATCCTAACTCTAACTTTACCCCGTGGATAAGAACCATTAAACTTTAAAATTAACCATCTATTAAATTAAGTAATATTTCATAGACGGATATATTTATAACTTACCTAACTCACTTCATGAGCCAAAATTTCACAAATTAAAAAAATATTTAAATTAAAGATAAAATTAGTATTTTTTTTCTTTCAACTTAAAAATTCAATTCAATTTTATCTTTCAACTTTATTTTAGTTCATTTTAGTTGTCTAACTTTTAAAATTATTTCAAATAAGTTTTTTTTGTTAAAAATATAAATTTTGTTAATATTTTTATCTTTTTCTATTATGTTTAATGTTCATTGTCTTTTTTTCTTTAAGTTTGTGCATTATTCATCTTTTTTTCCCTCAAATCTTTAATTTTATTTTCTTTCTTTAGTTTGTGCAATGTTTTATTTTGTTTTTTTTATATTACTTCTGCATTAATGACAAAAGTACATACTACATTTACTTGATACAACAAGTATATGATTTTTGAAGAGGTTTATATAATTACAAGAGCTCAAACACTTATTGCTCTATGCAATACAATTTTAAGTCACTGATTTACAGTGACTTTCATTAATAAAATTAAAAATTTTGTTATGTAAATAATGAGTTTCTTTTTTATAATTGTCTTTATTTCTTATCATTACTTATGACCACCGGACTTACACTCACAAAAATTATAAGATAGGATTTGTAGTAATATATTCCTTTAAAAAAATGATAAACATTATAAAAACTTGAGAAAAAAAGATAATAAATAGTTTAAAACAATACACGTGATAAAAAAAAGTTATTAATGAAGTTAATGTTTTTAACAAAAAAAAACTTATTTAAAATATTTTTAAAAATTAGAAAATCAAGATAAATGAAAATAAAATTAGAGAACAAAAAACAATAATTTTTTTTAATTAAATTTAAAATAAAAAATTAATTACGCTAAATACCATTAATTAATAATAAATGATAGAGGTAAAATCAATGTCATACTAAAAGTATATTAGCGCAGAGATTATGGTCAGGCAATATGCATTTTTTGGGCTAGTCATTTTGTACCCATCACACCTACCCTGCACTTGCACACACTCTAACACGTCATTTCAAATACTAACTAAACAGAGCACGCACAATTTTTCTTCTGTCTCCGGTTATTAAATTTCAATATATCTTTCTATTCTCAATCTTAATGCAGAAACCTCCATTGTGATCTTCTTGTGATGATTTTTAACTCATTAGTTGCTCATATGGTCTCTTTCTCCTTGCTTTCATCAACCTAACTATTCAATACTAATTATTTGTTCATTTTTTGTCTGAGCTTGATGATTATTCTGAATTGAATTTATTGAAATTTCACATAAGATTTATCTGCTATGCTTCTGCATTCATCGTTGTTTTGTAGTTTCAAATTAATCATGACTTACTCTACTTGTTTTGTCTATGCTACTATTTTTCCTGAATCATGTTTAGTTTAATAACATATGGGTTGACCCATGGGTTAACTTGGCCCTAACCCACATAATTAGTGGGTTTTGTAGGTCTAGGGCTTGAAAGCTTCACTATTATATGTGGATCATAATAATAGGGTTTAAGTGGGTTGTTTCATGAGTTAGGAGCCTAATTGACAGCTTTATTCCATCTTCAGAAGTCTCTTCATTATCACCAACATTTTCTTCTATAGTAATTCTATCATTCACTCATGAAAAGTATCTGAAATCATTGCCTAGCTGCAAGAAGTCAAAATAAAAAAAAATTAAAAAAATGAACTAAATTTCTTTTATAAGTTAAAATAAATTCATACTTTTTATTTTTTTTATAAGTTCTCTTATTTATATTCTTTAAAACTTAAAAAGATAAATTATTTTTAATTTATTAAAGATTTATTTATTCTTCATTTTTTTTTTCTTATAAAAGGCTTGTTCACAAGATTGCACAAACTGAATCACTAAGATTTCACTTTAATTCATTAATCATATAATTTCCATCTTTTTAAATAGGAATTCGTCTTGATGCTTAGTTACTTGATAGAATTTCTCCTTACTTAAGATAGGAACTATGGTGGCCAGTTCAGGTCAACCATTGTCCCTCTCAATTTGCAGCCATGTAAAAATCATTCACCTCCTCAATTTCATAGTTTCATGGCTACAATGCTGTATAGGCTCCAAAGAGAAAGGCCTATAAGCCTTTCATTTCGTATGCTCATTAACAATTTAATAAAGAATAACACTGTAAAAAATTATATCCAACAGTAAATTTGAACATAAAAATAAAATTAATTATATAGATTAAGAAAGTCACATCTAAAATTTGAAGTAATCTATACAAAATGGGTAGTGATGCCTAACTAAATTGAAAAATACTGTGACAATCACTTGAAATATGTATGGAAAAGTTTTGGAAGAGAAGAGAAAACATATTTTTTAATTTTAAAATAAAAAATTATATATCATTTATGATAATAAATGTGTGATTAATATATTAAATTTATATTAATATAATAAATTATATCTTTTATTTTAAAAGATATTAATTTAAAATACAAAATTTGTCTCTCTCTCGAGTCTCCTCTCTCCAAAACTTATTTTTGTATTTTGAAAAATAAAATATTACTTATCTACAAGAAATTATTTCCTTTGATGCTATGAACAAAGAAGAAACAATAATCAACAAAGGAAAGGCAATAATAGAGAAATAATTTCATGAGTTGTGCACACATAGCAATGACAAGCAAAAGGCAATTAATATGATACACAAAAGTGATAATTATGGGCCTTAATCTATAAAATTATGAACATGAATGAATTTACACGTTTTTTCTTGAACTCGAAGAGATTTCTACGTTAATAACATAACTGTCAACTTCCAAATGTCAACGTCTCTATGAATTGTGAAGTGAGATAACGATGATGCAAACTGTGTCAATATAAACTACAAAAGCTGAGGTGGGAATGGAATATCGTTCTCCTTTCTCTTTCTGGGCTCGCCATTGACTTTCAATGAGTAGCAATTAGCAGCTACCAACGACTTCACTTCGTTAAGGGACTTTCTATAATAATATTTAATAGATTATAGCATTCAAATATGACTCCATCAATTATTCTCTTAGATATATAGGTTAAGAATATTAAGTTAATCATATTTTATGCTTTCAATTCCTTAAAAATAAATATTAAATAGTAAATATGCTTTTTCATAATTTGTTGATATTTTCCTTAACTTATGCACCTGTTGCATAGGATAAAAAATCAATTTTAAATTACAATTATAATTTTTTCAATATTTTTTTGAAAGTTTGTATCATTGTAATGGAGAATCGAACTACGGTTTATTTCAGTTCAAAATTTTCACAAACGTGGATTATGGTGTGTGTTATTCAGGTCAAATTCCAAAATTACATCTTTGATTCAATGGAGTTTTACATTTTGTGACAAAATTTTTAAAATTTGTAATTATTCAGTGTAATTTACTGTAAATCTCAAAATTCATTCACACCTTATGGGCATAAAATTCAAAATTCATTCATATTTTGTAAATATAGCTAAATGTATACTTAAATATAGATTAATGAAACATGAGAATATGTTCTAAATTAATTTTAATACGAAAGAGTAAATTCAACTCATTTAATTTATATATAATTTTTTTAATTTAAATCATAAATATACTCCATTGTCCATCCAAATATTTAATATACCTGCATTTTATTTTATTAGAATTCAAACTTCCTCCAAATTTTTAATACATATGTATTCAATAAGACTTGAGATTACTAATTAATATAAAACAACTCTTATTTTTAATGTTTAATACTTGTTAAAAAGAGAACATTTTAAAGTAAATTTCATTATACTTTTTTTAAATGTATATTGAGAATATCTCCCTCATCAACACCTAAAAACTAATATTTTCGAAAGGTAAAAATTATTAAGGTAGATTTTCCCTTTTTGAATAGAATCATTTTTATACACAAAAAAAGAAGAAGCTATTAACATATTTAAAAGAGACAAGTACCCGGTAAATGTTTATTTGAATTCCTTATTAGAAGTTTTAATCACTTTAATTCTTGCTTTAAGAAAATCTCACTTTAGTCATTTACTTTTTAAAAATACTTATTTTCTTACATTTTTAATCATTTTATATAAAAAATTATTAAAATATAAATTTTATAAAATAAAAAACTGAATCATCTATATCTACACTTTAAAAAATTATTGGTCATTTCCTTTCCATCTACAGTGCAAGTGGGATTTTAGGATTTCTATAAAATAGAAATACCCTAATAATGATTTTGAATTTGATGAGAGAGGTGGTCCCAGTCTCCCAGATCACAGATCCCAGTGGGAATTCTTAGCAGTTAAGAAGGGGATTGATTGAATGTGGGATCCACACGTAGCCTTAGCCTTAGCCTATGGCAAATTGAAGTTGGAGCTTGAAAGCAAGGTCACATGGCAACAACCAACTCCATAAATCTAAAGAAATGACCATCCACGCAACACCATTTCTCACTTTTTCCCCATTAAGCCTTTTTATTTTAATTCCCTCTACCCTTTCTCTTCCCCTCTCATTTATGCACATACATATATAAGTCCCTTCTTTGTAAACCTCAAAAAATACTCACTAACTATAACCCCAACGCCCACAATCTAATTCCATTTCATAGCATAATAATTCCAATTCAAGGTACGTTTCCCTTTTCCATCATTTGACTTTGTCTATGTAGTACGCACAATCTCTTTTCGATGTCGGATGTCAACCATATATATGTTTAGATATTACGATATATGATTTGGTTAAATGGGTGGCGCTGAATTTGACTTTCCCTTTATTATTGTTACTTATATTTTTGTTTTCTTGCACTATATAATATAATGTCTGCACCGTGATCATGATCATAATAATCTTAGTGTGATCTTTATGACAATGTTGATGATTCGATTTCCATTGATGGTTCTTGTGTTGGCAATTTCTACTTTGGGATTCAGAATGGCCAAAGCAGAACCGAGTCTTGAATCCGGGAATGGGTACACGCTAGATTCAGTGAGGGATGCTTTGGTGAGGCAAGAAGATACCATTGTTTATGGTCTCATTGAGAGAGCCAAGTTCCCTAGCAATTTTCCCACCTATGATGAAAACTACACTGAAATCCCGGGTTTTTATGGTTCATTGGTTGAATTTGTTGTTAAGAATACGGAGGCAATTCAAGCTAAGGTACTAATTATAGTTACCTTATCTCTTCTTAGCTTGTCTGTTTTCATGTCTTGTTTTGTATTGGGTTGTCAGATTATGTCATTATGATTGTGTTTGACCTGTCACATTCAATGAATTTGGCATATTATTATTTCTTAAGATTGTAGGTGTGTTGATGGATGTTAAAATGATGTTATAGATATGATTAGTGATATAAGAAGATGGGGATGGAGGGATAAGTTGATTTTTCTGAAACATGCAGAATCAGTTCTGACTCTTTGATAATGTATACACTTATTCTGCTCTTTTTTTTGGAACTTCTCTAGAAATTTTTTAAGACCAAGGGTCCATTTGGAAGAACTTATGGAGAGTTTGTGGAAATAGCTTGTAATTTTATTAACTTCTTTTCAGTTTATTTTAATAAGCTTCTTAATGTAAGTTATCAGAATAAGTTCTTTTCAGCTTATTGCAACAAGTTTCATGATCAAAGAGTTTGTGGAAATAGCTTGTAATTTTATTAACTTCTTTTTAGTTTATTTTAATAAGCTTCTTAATATAAGTTATCAGAATAAGTTCTTTTCAGCTTATTGCAACAAGTTTCATGATCAAATTCATGCTATAAACCCTTATGTGAAAAGAGTATATTGAATAAGCGTTTAACTAAACTGCTTACCAAAAAGCAACCTTAGTTTAGAATTTCCTGCCTCTGTTATTAAGTTTAGAATTTCCTGCCTCTGTTATTACAATCATAAGTGTATCAGATCTCTTTCAATCATCATGAGTGGTTCTATTTTATTTGAGTTCTGTTACTTGCATCTGAAAGAATATTATGTGTAAAAAATAATACGGTATGTTACAGACAGGAAGATACAAAAACCCTGAAGAAAATCCCTTCTTCCCAGAAAATTTACAGCCATCATTTGTGCCATCTTACCCTTTCACACAGGTAATCCAAATTCCCCAAAGTGGTATCACTTTCCAATTTCAGTAGTTGACGCAACATAGAAGAAAAGGGATGTCTTTTAAACTATTCCATCTTCAGATTTTGCATTTTGGAGCCGCTTCAATTAACATAAACAAGTCCATCTGGAAAATGTACTTTCAAGAGTTGCTTCCATTGCTTGTTACTGCGGGTGACGATGGCAACTATGCACAAACTGCAGCAAGTGATCTCTCATTATTGCAGGTAAGGTTTTCTGATTTTTCTAGAAAATCCTTAGAAGTATGTACATGGATGAATTTACACACAGCAAATTTTATAATCAACAACCGCAATTTTTGTCAAAAGAAGTACTATTATTTTGCACATGTATGTTTTGTCCAAGTCAATAACAGTGGCCGAAAGGTCCTAAACTAATGCTGATTTATGCAGGCCATCTCTAGAAGGATTCATTATGGAAAGTTTGTAGCTGAGGTGAAATTCAGGGATTCTCCTCAAGACTATGAGCCTTTGATTCGTGCTAAGGTATATTATAAATGTAGATTGTTGAGTGTTGGTTTATATAGTTCAATGATGTCATTCTCATATTATTTATTGTATGGTCACATTCTAAGTGTTGCATGTAATAATATTATTGGTTTTTTATGCTACTTTGGTTTATAGTTAAAACAATTAAGTATTGTATTTTGCAGGACAGGGAAGGATTGATGAAATTGTTGACATTTGAGAGTGTTGAAGAGATGGTGAAGAAGAGGGTTGAAAAGAAGGCCATGGTGTTTGGGCAAGAAGTAAGCCTTAACCGTGCTGATGACAACAATGTGAAACACAAGTTTGATCCATCAGTGGCTTCTATCTTGTACCAGAAATGGGTAATACCGCTTACCAAAGAGGTTCAGGTTGAGTACCTCTTGCGCCGTCTCGATTGAAGCCATTTTCAATGCAATTAGAATTTAGAAGAAACAAAGGAAAGGAAGATGATATCGTTGTTCAAATGATTTATTGCCAATTTCATGTGGCATCTGACCCAAAAAGTGAACAGATTTTATTAAAATATGTTGTCAATGCATTTCGATTATGATTTTTAATATATCATTGGCGCAGTCTTTTATAATTTTTTATTTTTAATCCTTTAATTCATACCAGACTTTAGATTATTACTTTTTTTTTTCCGGCTTATATGTCCTTCAGAAAAAGGATTCAGAAATTAAACATTTATCACATAAACTCTCATGTGATACCTTTTTATTGAATAAATTTTTAATTATATTACTTACTCAATTCCTTTTTCATTAGGTATTTTGGATTCATGAATCAGTTAGGTGTGTTCGACAAAAAATTCAGACTTTTTATAGCTTTTCAGTGATTAGAGTTATTTTATTCTTCCTTTGTCGATAAATACTGGCTAATCATCACCACCATTAGAATTTCCCATAAAACTGAATTTTAAAAAAGTTTGTATAATTGTTTTTAAGTACATGTAATTAATTATAAGTAATTTTTAATCTACACAATACAATTTGATACATACCGACATGTGTCTAATAAACCTAGCATCTTTTTCTCCAATTTTGGCAGAAATAATGATGAATAATTAATTGGACTACCAACTCTTGAACGTTTGACTATTGATAGTTGCAGCACAAACTCTATAATGTATTGTCTTTGTTTTCTTGTCCTTCCATTTGATGATCATTCTTCTCTATTAAATAATAATTAAATAAATCCATTTTTATTAGTCGTCGTGAAATCTGACAAGCAGAACTTATTGACATATTTAAATTTACGATTTGACTACTTTAAAATAAAGAATATATTTTAGAAAATAAAGCATGAAATTATAGTCATGGATGAAAAAAAAAAAAAAACCATTGGTTGAAAGTATAATATACATGCACATAAATTTTTAAAATTACTCTACTATTTTCTGAATCTTTTATTCCCTGCAATGCACTATTCTCTTTAGAAATTAAACTACATTAAAAACTATTAAAAAAATACAGCAGCGCATAGGAGCACAAGTCACACGCTAGTAATACAATGAACTAGGCATAATTTGAAAGATAATAGAAATTCCTCGAGTATATTGATATAAATGGTGGCAATACACAAGAGTATAAGATGTATAATTGCTATGTAATAAAATGTATTCAAGCAATAAGCAATATCTACTAAAACAGATCAGAACAAAAACAATTGAAGAAAACAATTCAAATGAGACAAGATTCCAATCTCGAATGCAAGAGTATAGTTATTGTGCCATTAATCAAGTCACACTTGAAATGGTGAGAGAGAAGGATTAGAGACAGAAGAAGGTTTCAGAGAGTAGAACGACAATTCAGTTAGGAAGAGTAATACTATGCCCATTCATGCTCGTAAATGAAATCCTTCCACTATTTTATTGGTTTGAGCATGCGTCCACTCCTCCTCACCTCTACCTTAAGCGGATCGGCAGTCTTGCATAACTAACTTTCCTTTTTTAGGCTCTCCCCCGTGTCTTTTTGTGCTTACATCTACCTTGCTTTTAGTGATGTTAATTTCTTTTTCTGCCCTTGCTCTTCTATTGCTCTGGTTCCTCTCACCTTCTGTTTACGGTAAAAAATGACAATTTGTAAACAAATAATTCAAAGATCAATCTGGGGACTGGATTAAGTCCTCTTTAAGTTCTTTTAAGTGTGTTGTTAACATAACAGTAAAATGGACGTCACAAATTAAACAATTTAGCAAGAATAGTGAATATGAAACGCGTAAAATTGAATCCCAACATAAAGGTTCTTCGCAGAAATGTGTCAAATAGAAAGTAAATTGCAGAAAAAAGGAACAAAAGCAAACAAAGAAGTTGTAAATAGACTGCAGAAAGATAAATGTGCGAAAATATAAAGGTTCGTGAATGTAAACGTACGACTCCTCACAACAGCAGACAGTGGTCACCGTGAGTCTCCTGGTAGCTGATGTCTGGCGCGGTGCAAGGTTTCATCGTGAAGAGGTTTTAGGTGCGATGTCAGGATGCAAAAAGTCGTCCTTTGTAAAATGGCGCTTTAGAGTATTTATAGGCAGAAAGACCACCACTGTTTTCCTTCTTTTGCGGACACTTCTTAGTAACTACCTTCAACTATTAATGCTCATTATCTATGCTTGCTTGTGATCGTATTGTTGGTTGTGGCTTCTTTTGTAACCGCTATCACCTACGATCTCCTTTGCGTAGTGGTGAATGTTGATGACTGTTGGTAACCGCTTTTAGATTTTGCAATACTTGACCTATTAAGACTTTTGTTTTTCTATCTTTCGAGTATTTCTGGAAAAAATCTAAGAGACTTATTTAATGTTATGGCCTTAGAATAGTTTCTCTTTAACTTCTCTTTTCGAGCAATTCTGAAGTTTTGAGAGCTTGTCTTGATCTTGTGGATTTAGAATATTTTCTGACTACTTCCTGTTTTTCAAGCAATTCTGGAGGGACTGAAGCTCAACCAGGTTTGTGGACTTAAAATATTTTTTGACCACTTCCTTTTTTTGGGCAGTTTTTGGATGTCATGGACTTAAAAACTCCTCAAAACTCTTCGAAAAATCCATCAGTTTTATGGACTTAGAATATTTTTTTGTCAGTCATGTTTTTCGAATAATTTTGAGTGTCAGTGACTTAAAAACTCCTCGAAAAAACCTTCAATTTTGTGGACTTTGAATATTTTCTTGTCAGTCCTATTTTTCGAACAGTTTTAAAAGAAAATTAATAAAGAGACAAAAACCTTTAAAATAGCTCAAAATGTGTCTTTTTTAATAAAAAATCTTAGATAACTTTTCAATACTTCTTTAGATCTATTTTTAAACTCCTTCATGACCCTGACAATTTCGTCGACATATAACTTCATTCAACATGATTTTTTAACTTAAAAAATTTTCTTTACCCCAAACACCTTCCTTAAATTTTGGCACAAATTAATGCGTATTATTAGATTATCTCTTTACCTTTCGGCCACCCGACCTCGCATCACATATGCCATTCACGATGCTTTTAATTTTATTTATCGTTTGATTATGTTTTCTCTCTTAAAATATAATAAAAGCACTAATTTGATATATAGACAACTTACCCATAACGAGAAACAAAGACGGAGCTTCTGCCAATCACGTCGCATAACTAACTCTGATGTCATTATTTACCACTGCCTTTAACACTAGTTAAAGGTCTAACGGATCCACAAGGATTTAAGGAATTTTAACATCTTTAGGCAAGAGGCGCTACGAAGCACATGCGTTTAACCCTTGCTTAGAAAAAAAAAAAAAAAGATCATTGACTATTAGAAAAGGAATCCCATATCTTGTAATATAAGATGAGTGATTTAATTCTCAATTCCAATTTAAAAACGAACTGAATTAATGATCCAAAATATCAAAGTAACTTGACATAAAGGTAGAGGAAGATATATATTATTTCATCATCATAAGTTAGTCAAAGTATTATAAATTTTTAGAATCTTCTAAATTTGTCATTGTTGAATTATAGAAGAATCAAAATAAATAATGATTTAAAGTGTTTGAATTTACGCTTACATAAATCACCATGTCTCCCAAGTAGTAGAGATGGCCTAGCTGGTTAGCCTTTGCTCCTGGATCACTTTAAAATTACTAGCATTATTTTTCTAGTTTCATTTTAAAGCCATGATATGTTTTGTTGAATATGGCAGAGGTGGGTTTTCAAGATGACTGGAATGAGAGTAAACAATGAAAGAAGTGGACATGGAACATTCTACCACAAAACGACACATCTAAGGACAGAAATTTCGGAACATTGATCCAGTTCATCTGTTAATCCAGACAGCCTGTGGCAGACAGAAATCGTTGCTGGTGGATAGTTCATGGCTCATCTGCCAACTGCATCATCGCCTCTTTACTCGGAATTATTCGTAGACAAATCTACAGTAAATACTTAAATTATTATGACTTTCGTAAAGATGCAAAAATCATTCTAAAAACTTTTGTTTAAAAATGTTTAAACACCACCAAGAGAAAACCTAAAGCTGAGCTTATATAAAATTTCATCCTCCAAGTGACTCCCTATGCTTAAGGAATGGCTATCGATTTGATATAATGATGACTGACTGAATATTGGATGATCTGCATTTTCATGGAAGGCTAGCAATAATTCAACCTGCCCTCCCGACCAAAAACATAAGTGAATCTTCAAAATTTTATGTCAATACAACAAAAATATGTTAAATACTATTTTTAAGGAATTTCCGGAACAAAATTAGAACTTATTTGTCTTACCATTGATAGTCATGAGCATTGCTTAGAGATATGCTTTTTCACATGTAAGGTTCTCGCAAAGCTGTTGGCAGCACTAGTTCAGACTCAACTTCGCTTAACGGAGAGAAATAGAATTCAACCATGTCCTCAGATATTTCTTTTAAAGTAGGTGGGTCCCACTGCAAATTTGTCAATAAAATGCTTAAGATTTACTCCCGACAAAAAAAAGGCTTTACTGAATACATAAATGTACAGATTCTTTGACAAAATCTACCTTTGGTGCAAAATCTTTGTCAACCATTCTTGCTCGAACACCCTGCATAAAGAACAAGCAACTTAATAAAAATGATGTTGCTCTTCATTGAAAAGATATTACAGAAAAATCATTACCTCAAAGAAATCAGAGGAGACGTGCTTGGAAACTCCACGAAGGGACAGGCGGTATTCACGTACAAGACATTGATCAAGAGTTTCAAATCTACCTTCACGTATCTAAATTAAGCAGCAGCAGGTTAACGTAGAACAAAAAAGTGCCTTGAATGGGAAATCAAATAACGTGCAAGGGAGATGCAACTCACAGATCGTAAAATAACTTTCAAACTCAACGGAGAGGCTTCTCTCATTCTCCTTAGAGTGATCATGCACCATTCATCATAAGACTCAACTGCCTCTTTCTCCTGACAGAATAACAATTCATTTTGAAGCAAAAAGACAATATAAAAAAGCAGTGTAATTATGTACCAGATGATGGAAAACACTAACACTATCCATCGCCTGATTCTTCAAACAAAATCTGAAATGTTTGGTGTACTGCATTCTTTTCTGCCTATACTGATTATTTTTTGTTTGGTTAAAGATGCCCCATTACTTTCTAAAAATGTTTGAGCAAGGTTCCTTGCACATAAAGCATATTTTCAATATTTTTGGTGTCAGAGCAAGGGGAAGAAAATGATGAAGACAGATATACCAGAGCTTTTCACCACATGATCTCATAACCGTAGTAGATTGTGGATCAAGATATAATCAATATTGAAATGTTCTTTTCTAACAAAACAGAAATGCTTAGTACTTTACTCCACTGCCTATTTTTTGTTTGTATTTTTTATGTTGGTCAGGTGTTCTCATTACCTTCCTCAACTGGATACTGGAACATAGCAAAGATCCAAATTCCCCTATTTTGGAAGATATTATGGTGATTTCCATTGAGCCAATTACTTGACTACAAACAAGTTATAACTTGGTAGGAACTCCCCAAAAAAGTCACAACTTCTACAGATGATACAAGCTTTGATATTTGATAATTTACCAATAATTATGAATAAGGTTTCTTGAACAAAATGCCTACTTTCAGTAAATTTAACTTGCCAGCAAAAAAAATTACAAGACAAATAATATACCAGGTAGGCAGTCACTATTTAACAAATTACACAAAACCTCGCAACCGTAGTTCATAGTGGATTAAAATATGTTATTTTTATATTCAACATCACCCAGACTCACCAAAGATCATGTAAAGATTTAACAAAATGCTTACCAAAGCTTCAATAATTTCTTCCACTGTATCATGACTGAAACATTTATCAATAATATCAATCCTGAGTAAAAAAAAATGGAAAGCTCAGAATCAGAGAACTATGCAATCAGAACAGATGAAACCAAAAAGAGCAGGGTTCTATCTTCACCAAAAAAAGAAAAAAGAAAGAGCAACAACTAAATGCAGACTCTTCAAAATAGTTGTTTTGGGTCATATCTGCATTAATCACTTATTTATGTCAGACAATGTATGGACAGTTGGACACTTAATTTTTTAAACCTATACCAATATAGATGACAATATAACAATTATATAAATTGTTATGTTATATTATGTTTGCAATGGTTCCTGCCTATTTTCAAAACATCAATTCTCCCTTAAGATATCCAATTAGTGTTTGACGTTTATTTTATAGTAATTTTATATGTAGTATTTTATAGTCATGACATTGACATGTCCTATGTTTTTTAACATTTCCCGTATCCCCTTGTTTGTAAAATCTGGTATGCATTACTTAGCCCAAGCTTTTAGGATTGGCTAATTTACAGGAAATGACAACCCAATAGTCAAGTGATTTATAGTTATTTCAGTGTTGTCAAGCACCTTCTTTTCACTATGGCAATTTTTGTCAGAGCAACAGCGCCAGATTTTTTAATAAAGGGGGAGGATGGCTGAACAGAGGAAAAAGGCCACCCCATATTCATGTTATTTCAGCTTATAAGTGATGCAAGGTGGTACTATGTCTAGAAATTCTAAAGGTCTTACACAAATATATATGTCTGAGGCCTAGTCTAAAATAATCCATCAATGCTGATTTTACTATTCTAATTTTTTGAGCAGGAAAATTGTTTATCAAATTTACAATGAGGTTAAACATTTCTCAATAGCTAATATGGTTAATTCATTCAATACAACTGATAACATAATTTATCACATAGGATTTAAGCAATTTCAATTTTGAAAACTATTTTTGGTGGCAGCAACAATTAGTGTTAGTCAATAAATTTTAGAAGCAATGTATGTATTTGGTAAAGAATGTAATCTTTTAATATAATTTAATACTTCTAATGGAATATAATTTCTCTTGTCAGAACTTCCTTCAATGTCTTCAATTTTGGGGAAAAAAACAAGATCATTAATATCTACTGAAGAAACTAGTAAACCACAAACATTAGAATATTATAGTAATAGTTAGAAATGAAAGTAGGAATTATAGTACTTACTATGGGATAACAAATTAATTTTAAGGTGACAAAATAACTCAATAAAACTTATTTTTAATAAAACTTACCATCTAAGAACGTTAATTTAAGTAAAATTCATTAAAGATATCAAGGTTTATTTTGGTGGCCTTAAGTGACTGGGGAACTAGGCAATTGCCTTAGGCTTTACATGCCCCTAATGCAAGGTGGAATGAAAAGAAGGATGATTAGACATCATTTTTGCATGAGCATAGAGCAAACCACGCAAAAGTAATAAAAAAATAATAATCAGACAAACAGTCAGTTAATTTTCCTAACAGAACAATTTCCCAATTTTTCTTAGTATAGGCAGTAAATAGTGAACCCATCTGTTAGCACATCTGGAAGTTCAAAGGTAATAATTGAGAAATGGTATATTTTTCCCCAATAAAACAAACACTTTATCTCATCACACAAATTTTAAGAAGAAATATCACCACAATCAGTATTTAATCACTCTATTGCATTGTTTTTTTTTTTTCAAATTTTATTTGTTTCAGTAACTTAGTTCCATCACAGTAGCAAATTAGCAATAAAATTTAAACATCCCAGTAATGACTAAGGAGTACTAAATACACTATTAAATACTTCCATCCAATGCTTAAAAAGGCAAGCATTGAAAGACCTACATGTTTCTGATATAATAAATGTTTTTTCAATAAAAACTTTCTACTTCTATTTCTTAACCAAGGACACTGCTTAGCATTTTCATAGAATATAAGATAGTAGATTTTAGCAATTATTCTAACAAGCTTCTGGACCCATATGGTCATAACTGAGCTGCTATATAGAACCATGACAACCCCTCTCTCACACACACCCAAAAAATTTACACAACAAGGTCATAAACCGAAAAAGAAATAAGATGTGTTGATGCAACATTACTTGTGAAGGACACTGTTTTTGTCTGGATAAACAAGATCGCCATACTGTGCAAGGGATGCCTCCACAACAGATGGTTCATCTGTTATCAGTTTGCCAAGGCGTTCTTCAAGCCAGGCAAGCCTCTAAGAGGAGAAGCAAAATGAATGAAAATTGTAAGCAAGGGAAAAGTAGGCAATGCAGAACAAGGAAGCATAAAAACAAAAATAAAAACACACCGCATTTAGTGAATAATGAGTAGCAAGGCGGCAGGCAATCATTTCAACACCATTAAGCTTATCTCCTGTAAGGGCCAAGTATTCCCCTGTATAGCATAATATAAAATAAATAATTAAATATCTGACAATCATTTGCTGATTTACTATGAAAACTACTAGTACAATTTTAAATCAATGGTTAAATCATTAATATTTACACTGCTCTTGGAAGTAAATGGTTGTATAAATATTCAGTAGGATACGTATTCCGTTGGGGGCAAAGACCAACGAAGAAGTAAATGGGTGAAATTTGAGAATTTGATTGTTCAGTTTTAAATAGAAGACAATTTAATTGATTCAATTTTATAAATATTTTGAGTCGAAAATGAGAATTTAAGAATTTAGGTAGAAAAAAATTAACAGGGAACTACATTTGCTAAATTTTAAAAGTAAAGTGACTGAATTAGCTCAACAAAAGAACTTACGGGACCAAAATTACACAGAGGTTAAACTAGGGAGACTAAACATGCAATTAAGCCTTAAAATAATTAAACCTTTCATAAAAAAAGTGTGTCAAAACTCAAAAGTATTATGCAAGAATCCAGCTCTCAAATAGCATGCAAAATTTATATCACCTAAGTAGCCAGGTAGACGAGACAAAATATAAGAAGCTCCTGCATCAGGGTGGAAACCTATTTGAGCCTCTGGGTGAGAAAAAATCTGCAGAGTTTATGCAGAGGAAGGCTAAGTTGCCAGCATTTACTGAGCATGTGAGCATTAAATCCAATGAGCATCTGAAGAAATCACATACAGTTTTATCAGTTACAACACGGAACATCCCTGGAAGAGAAATTCCAGATCCACATCCCATCGTTATTCCATCCAAAATGGCCACCTGCATAAATACTCATTAAATCATCGTATAGGTACTAAAGAAGCTTTCAAGTTTAAAAAATTGAAAAAAGCGATAAAAAAATCCAATCAATCAGAGCCCATTATGCTACTATAGCATTCATAACAATACAGTATATGACTATATGGATCATGGACATACATAATGCTCTTAGGAGGAAGCTTACTAGCCTAACCATCTTGCTAGTTGTTTTAAATACTACATGAATGGGTTAAAGTATTTAAGTGTCATCTTATTTAAAACTTAGATAAAGATTTGTTTCAACTTTCAAGAAATTGTGCTCTGGACCAATGACAATGATGGCAGAGTTGGGCATCACCATCCAGTAATTGTCAAATTACCTGCCAGCTTTTATTAGTCCAGCGAACAAAAACAATATGTACTACATGAATATAAGTTATGAACCAATATGCTAAAAGCTTAACCAGTTAGGTTAAGACACATGAATGTTTTTATATTACAATCCCTGATAAACATCTTCATGCAAGAGCCCTTTGGGCTTGAAGCATGGGAAATGCACAAAACCATCTACATTGTGCTAAAATTCAACTTTTTATTAGAAGAATCGGAGTGACACTCAAAGGCTAGATCACAATAGACTATAATTTTGATGTCAACACTCAACACAAATACTATCTTTATATCCCTTTATCTGAATCATAAACCACTGGAAAATAAATATCTAAATCATATGACAAACAAGAATAATACAGTATATAGCACTTCAACTAGAGTGAAGAACATAAGCTCAAAATAAAATTATATTACGTATATATCACTTCTCCAACCTAAATTACTCAATATCTCAAACAAATACTTACATGTGGTTTAAGATAGGTCCCTTGAAGATATACAAACGAATATACTGTTTTGAAAAACTGTTCAGCTTCTTCAGTATTTCCTGCTTGTTATAAGCATAACAATGTCACAACTCGTCAATGTAAAATATATATCTCTGATGCAGAAGCAACTAAAAATTTAAAGTGAACCAAACTAATTACAGATCATCTTTCTGACATGAATGATGAATGTCTTAATCTGCCACTCATCTGATCATAACTCTAATATATCTACAGCAAATTTTTAATCCAAATTAAACTCCAACAATCCAATCAATAAAAGAACATCAAACCCCCCACCACCACCACCATCTTGCAATAGGACTCAAAATGAGAAAGTGAATCACAAGTCAGAAATTGTTTTTTTCATTTGTTTTTGAATAAACAATGAGTCTATCAAAAGAGAAATAAAATAGAGAAAGGAGGGTAAGAAACTCCCTGACAATGAAAGTAAAAATGAAAAGACTCAAGATATAGAGAACATTAGCACAGAAGAGGAATTCAGTCCCTCGGTAGCATCTAACAAACAAATACCTTAAACAAACCGCATGCACAAGTGAGGGATTCAATCCTATAGGCCACACAGAGAGGCAGAAGGTGCTGTTATCAGCAAATAAGGTCATGATTTAGATGAAGACGAAGCTAACAAACAGTCCCCATATTATTTTATAAAAAGAATTGAAATATAAATATAAATATAAAAATATACATCACACCTCAGATCCTGCAACAACCAACTTCTTTTAGCAAGTTTAAATTTTTTATCATGAACAACAAGCACACAGTAACCCTATATATAAAGCAAATTTCAGAAAGCCACTAAACCTACTGTTGTTTTAGATCCAACTTAGAAGATGAAAATTGAAATATAGAACTTAAAATGTCAAGCTAAGAAGTGGAGTTTTAGAGGAAAAGGGAAGACAAGGCAAATATATTATTTCAAATTATGAGTTATATAGTGTTTATAAAAATAAATAATAAGATTAAGATATTAAGTCTATGCTAATCTATCATTTTATTTCTTTCATTTAAAAAAATTATCAAATTAGAGAAAAACAAACAACAACCAAACCTTATCAAGCCAGGTGAAGTGGGCTACATCACTACATGAATCACCCAATGCCATTGAACTTCTCAAAAACTCGTCAAAATAGAGAATGTTATTAAAAATGAAAATTTTGCCCTCCTCTTTCTTTTCCACTAAAACCTAACACCCAAACATACTCTAAGAAATTACAGAAATAGCAAATGGTGATTGGATAAATCGCTCAAAACTTATTTGCACCAAGTTTCCATAACCAATTGAAAGGAAAAAGATAATATGCTTGTTCATGAATAAAATTTTAAATGCAACTCACCTTCAATGAGTGAGTGATACAGCCTAACAACATCTGCACCAGAACAGAAAGCTCTACCACTACCCTTCAAAACATTCAAGATAGAAACTCATACTCAACACAATGACGGATATCTTTAAATATGATAAAAAAATCCACAATATAGTATTAGAAAAAACAAATATGAATAATAATAACAATAACATCACTATGTTCCTTAGTTCAGTGCCAAATCATTGGCGTGAAAACGATGGTGATACCTTCATTAAAACAAAGCCAATATCAGAGTTCTCTTCCCACGAATCATACAACCGCTTCAAACGAGCAACCTACGAAATGGAAACGACGTGGCGTTTACCTCAAGCACATGAACTCGAAACGCGAATTGAGCAAAGAGAAACGCCGTACCATCGAAGCAGTGAGCGAGTTCAGCGAAGAAGGCCTATTGAGAATCGCTGCTCGCGATTTCGCTCTTCCTTCAACTAAAATCTATAATTAAAACGAAATTTTAAATTGAAAACTAAAATTACAAGAAAAAAAAAAAGACGAAGCACACGAGAAATGTGACCTGTTGCTGAGAATCGTCATCGTGGTGCTCCTCGTAATTTGGTTGAGCAGAGAAAGGTCGATGATGAGAACAGAGATTGCGAAATGAGAACCTAGTCTGCGGTAGCAGAGCTTTGAATCTCTGCATCTTCGATTTTCTTTCTGGTTAGAATCGTTGTTAAATGTTTCTAGTGTTAGAAAGTGTTACTCAAATGAAAGTTCAGCTCTCTGTGTCTTGGTTACTATGAAATTGAAGGACGCTTTCCCTCGGGAACCAAGTTGGGTCCGGGTTTGAAGGCACCGAATTGAGACCCGAATCGATGTTAGGGTTTATTGGGGAGTCTTTTGTCATGTGGCCCAAAAATAAATTGCACTTATTTTATTTTTAATTTTTATTGGACCAAATAAAATTTTAAAATATATCTATAAGTCAAAATAAAACTTAAAGAAATCAATCATACACGAAAATATCTTTTGTTTATAATTTATTTCATTCATTATTGTAATTTGACTAATATGAACAACAAAACACTAGAAAATTAACTTTAAATTTAATATAAATGATATAAAAATAATTGTTTCACGTTAAAAGGATTTAGCTACCTTGAGAGGAAAATAGATGAGACGGCTTATTTAATAAATCATTAATGAATTTCATAATTTATTTTCTATTTCCCAAATAAAATCAAATAATAAATATACTTAAAATGTATCAAAAAATAAATACTTAAAAGAATAATTTGAGTGTCAAATTCATTGCTCCAGAACTTTTTCAACTTTGAACTTACAAGGGCACCCACTGAATTTCCATTGCAGATTTTACTAATAAAACCATGTCTAGTTGATCGTTTGAGCTGTCAAAGCATGGACTTGGAAAATTTAATAATAAAGTCATTTACATCTTATATAATCTAGTTCTTAACATGTTATGTGTCTTCCTTTTAAGATACATCACTTTATTGTGATACGTTATCTTTCATATAATGCGGTGTTGGTCGTATTGAAGTGTAAAGTGTGATAATGTATGACGTACAAGTATTCAAAATAGGAGTTACATTAACACAACTCTCACCTGTAATTAAGGATCATGAATCTATACAAAAAGCGCAACACTTAATAAAACCTTAAGACCCCTACCCCCAATGAACATTTCTGAAGGCTGGAAGAATACCATACACTAGCCAAAATGGTACACAGACAATACAATATAATGTCATTAAATTTTTTGCAATTCTACCGAGACCTTTACATGATTCTGGGCATGCATTACACATACAAGATTAACACCCTAACACTTTACACTTCACAGCAATTTGAATCTCCTTCCCCTGTTTAAATTATGAATATTTCCCTAAGAGATAGAATGCCTCCTGTGTCTTAACGATGAACCAGATGATTTGGTATCTCCAGGGACTACAGAAGTTGGGCTATTAGAACTCCCTGAAGTCTCTGAGCTCCTATTCTCTCCTTGTCCTTTACCCATAATCCATAACTTATCAAAGATTCTCCTCGACCGAGACGGCAGTAACTGCATGCCACTTCTGCTGTTTTTGCTACTCTTCTTGTTCAATTTCCCATTCTTGTGGAACTCTTCATCTTTAATCTTCAAGTGACACACCTGGTTGTTGAGGGATTGGCAACTCTCTCCCCCGGGTTTCTCACATTCCTTGTCTCCATTGCATGGATTGTTACCAAGTGTGCGTGCATTGGCAGAAGCTCTAACCTGCTCAAAATAGAGAACCTGCACCACAACTCGAAGAGGAAGGCGTTCATTCTGCACAGCATGCATTGATGCATCGACTGATAATTTCCTGACATCCATCAGTCCGCATATCTTCTTCCTTTCAGCTTTTGTCAGACTCGGGTGCTCCTGAAGGTAAGAGTCTTGAGTGAATACTAAAATGTCATCAGGTAGTTAAGGCTGCACGAGAAGAATGTGCAGTCTATTCCTCGTTTATCCATTACACGATTGTCATTTCTTAGTCATTACAAAACATACATATTATTAAGCAGCTAGCAATTAGTGTAATAGTAGAGAAAACTGCTATAGTTCAGATATTATAACTTGAAAAACATAGCTCCAGCATGAGAAGCTTTCGTATGTATAAGAATTTAAATGTTTGTTTATTTATTATTTTATTAATAACAAAATAACAAGACGCTAAGGAGTGAAGTTACTCAATATATGGGATATGTCATAACAGGAATCAATCAAATTAGTAAAATAATTTTCACCAAGGTACCAAAGATAGATGCAACACAAAAACAGTTAAGTCAATTCATTATCATGGGATGATTGTATACTTTATGTTTACAAAATTGTACCTTCAAATAGATGTCAATAGCTCTGTACAGACCATCATGATTTGGTCTAGCAAACTCTGGAATTGACTGAGATAAATCAACAAAACTAGAGAGGCAGAGATTTGGATCATGTGCAACTTCTCCAAGATAACCATCTACCAACTTGCCAACATTCAATAGAGATCTCTGTCCTAAAATGGATTCTTCATTTGCTTTATCTTTCTTCTCCTCAACAATCGTATCCCAGCTGCCCTTTATGTTAGTCATGTATCGATTCAATAGATCTTGCACCAAATCAACATCATACTTGGTAATCTGGGGAAATCTTGCTGGAATCAGTAAATCTCTGACATAAGCTTCATGCAATTTTAGGCCAATGCTCTTCATCAACTCTTCCCTGGAAGACTCATCAGCTTCAACTAATATGGCCACTTTCAACAGCTTCAGCAAGAAACTACATGAACAACCCACACCATTATCACATGGCAATAAACATACAATTGTTTCTACCAGAGATTTGTTCCTCCAGGCATGGGCATCAGAAACCAACGCATCAACAGAATCAGGCAACCATCTTATTGCATACGTTTTTAGTGCCTCGCCAATCACAATGCCATCCATTCTTCCCTTTGATTTCACAGTAATCATTATCCGTTTATAAAGATCAATGTCCAGCTCACATATATCTTCAACCCACCAATCCTTGGGTACAGGCTCAATCTTTCCTTGTGGTGTCATCTTGTCCTCAACAATTTTATCAAGCTCTGATAATTTCCGGTTGTAAGTGTAAGACCAAGTGATGTTTGCTGGGTCCACAGAAGTTTTAGAAGCAATGGAATCTATGCATCTCCCAACGATCTTTAAATCCTCAGACCATGGAAGAAGATATTTAGTAGTTTGGAGAACAATTATAGAATCCTTCCAGCTACGAAAGATACTTGAGGTAAGAAACACCTCAATTTTAAAAATTAAGTTTCCTCTGTCAATATCCTCAGTCATCTCAAGGTACTCAGCTGCACATCGGGCAGCCACAACATTGTAAGCATTTAGGGTAACAGTCATTCCATAGCAGAACTTTGCACAAATTTCAAATGCTTTGGGACCACCAGGAAAATCATCCAACTGAACTTCATCAGAATTCTCTTCATTAGCCTTTGACACCAACTTTTGTAAGTGATTGCTCTTGGACAGTAGAGGGAACTGCAACTCAAGAAAAGTCATCATCAATAAACAAAAAAAGAATGAAGCAAGTAGTTAGCTGCGAATCCCTAAAAATCACAAGAAATGCAAACTCAATGCACACTGGACCAGTCTCAATGAAAAATTTTCTGATTTCTTAATTCAGTCCAATAGAAAACGCTACATCATTAAATTGTACAATATGGCATTGTTGAATGGCAAAATATTTCATAACTACAACTTGCTAGGTATACAATGGAGACAAAATGTTTTTGCTACCATATGTTCATAGCTATCATACCACTAGCTGACTAAGGTAGTGGCATGATAGTTAGCATGTCACACTTTCAGTTCTTTTTAAGTTAAGCAATTCAATATAATGTCATCATTGGTATGATGAATCTAACAATTGTGGACATGCATAGAATGTCTTCTACCTCCCCTTCTTAGTTAGCAAATTTGACATAACTATCACCCACTACTTGTTACCATAACTTTCATACCACTGTCTGCTTAATGCTAAAGATTAAAAGTTTTGCTACCATCAATATCATCCACCACTAGGAAATATTCTTACTTTACTTGCAGGACAATTTAAACAAGGTTCTGTGAAAACTGCATACCTTGTGAAGGTAAAACTTAACTTCACCAACATTTATAATAATATCTGTAGCCAATTCAGAGGATATATACCTGCATAATTTGGTAATGAATCACTTAACTTACAAATTGGAAATCATTGAACAAGACAAAAAAAAAGATAAGAGGAGATCACTGAACCTCACCCCCAAAATATAATTAAGCCACATGCCATGTACGCATGCAAGATTCATATCACAAAATCACATAATTATAACAGAATAATCAACCAAAACAACAGCAAGATGTCAAAAGACCGTCAGCCAAAAGTTTATTAAATAAGATGCATTTTGTTCATCTCACTCTCACATGGACACGTCATGTAAATGTGACAAAAAAAAATCCGTTATATTTTACATCTTGGCCTTGATCACATGTTCGGAGAAAAACATATACACATTAATTGCCAGAAGTTAAAAATTCTGAAATCTCTGCTCTTAAGGGATTAAGAAGCCATGCAATTTTATTTGTCCATACAATGAAACCGCTATTTAAAAATCTCGAGCAAAATGACCAACTGGAGGCACATCCAAATGAATATTAACTGTCCAAACGTGCTTCATACTTTTCAGTTGAATACTTACACCACATGCAAGACAGATGAGATTTCGTCGTGGCATACGGTTTCATAACAGGCTAAAAATCCACCAAACCATGATATTTTAGAAAGAATCCAACCACAAGTGAAACTCTCTAACCTTATCTCTATACAAAAGGTAGTAAAAATAATCTATGTACGCCAGTGAAGTCACATGCTTAAACACGTCATCTATAGAACTGTATATAGATACAATTATTATAATATAAAGAGTAACATTGTTTTAAATAGGACATCCATTCCACCATGATTTAAAATGCCGGGCATTCCATACCACTTTCCCTATATTTGGACCACAAGCTCAAAAAAAAATTTATAGTCCAAAACAGGACCACCTCCGATTCAATCAATGGAAAGTCTCTCTCTCTTTCTTTTCTTTTACAATTATCAGCAATATAGAATATTAACATTACTTCAGGGTTATGCAGACAGAGATTATGGTTTTTCTTTTGAAGACATTCAGTAATGAATCTCCAACTAGCATGGCCTCACTCAATGCATAAGCAACCAACAATATTAACTTCATTGCTGACACCAAAAACACACAATAAAGGACCCCCAAGAACGCAGGAAACACACGAAACAGAATAACCATAAAAAATCAAATAAAATCAGATACAGAGAAAGAAACAAAACAAAAGAGAAGAACGCGATCCCACCTGACAGACTTTCCATCAGCTTGAAGAGCATCAGGCTTCGAACCCAACTTCATAAACTTCATTATTTCCCCTTTTTTTATAATTTCCTCTCCGTCAAACCAAATCCAAAAACACCCACTAAGATAAAAAAAACAGAACTTAGAGAGTTTCAAACAAAACGACAATCCACGGCACCGTTTCCTGGGAAGTCATCCATGTGAACAGAAGAAAGCGTGCGTGTGTAGCGTGCTACAGTAAGAGCAAGAGACAGTTGGTGGTTGCCGAGAATGTGTAAAAACGCAACGCTTGACTTAGAAAAGAAAAGTGTTTCATTGAAGAGGGTAAGAAGGAAGCGTGTGAAGTGTTAAGAAGTGGATTGAATTGAATGCAGAGAAGATGGTGGCGGCCTTTGGTTTGAATAAGATGGGTGAAGAGGCGCGAATCTCAAGAGGGTGGTGTTGTCTGAGACGTGAATGATGAAGGGTCTGAGTCTGACGCAGTTGTGTGTGTGTGTGTGTGTGTGTGAGAGATAAAGAAAATGAAAATGAGAAGATGTTGCTGTTAATTGTTATAGGAATAGGAGAAAGGTGGGGTTAGTGTAGGGGGAGAGTAGGGGACTATGTGACAGGGTGGCTCAGAGGGTGCTTTTATGAGCCTTTATGTTTATGTTTATGTTTATGCCCAGAAAGCACGCCATCTTTTCCTTCACATTTTTCTCCCTCTTCCCAAACCTATTTCCCTCTCTCTCCTTCCCTTCCGTAAAAATAACATTTTTATGCAAAATTTTAAATAAAAAATTTAGCCATTATTTTTTATGCACTGTTTAGCATTGATCTAAAAACAATATGAAAATGTTTATGTAATTAACATTTTCCGTTGTCAGATTTATTTTATAGCTTAACTTTATGGAAACCACCACGTATATGCTGTGTTTATTCCCAAAAAGTGACGATGGTTTACATAACACTGATATGCCCACATATCTCACTACGGATTTCTTTCTTTCTTTCTCTCTTTTGGTCTGCTCTACCAATGAAAAGGGTGGCGCTTTTGGCATGGATTCCTTATGTACGTTCCTTTTCGTGATTGAGATGCGAGAATAGCTGATAGATGCCACTACCATCGTCATCGGTAGTGAAAACTGAACACTCTCGGTTAAAGTTTTATTATTTTCATGTAAATAATTATTTTAAATTAATTATAAAATAACCTGAATTTTACTTTCAATCACTTTTAAATCAATCGAAACCAAACAGAAAAATATATTAAAATGCTTACAAGTATAGTAGTAATATATAAAGATTTAATTTATATCATCAAGTTTGAATGAATGGATGGAATTCTGAGGATGAACAATATTGTGGTCTAGTTACAGAAGGAAATGTAGATGAAAGACACCTTATTCTTGGAATTGATAAATATTTGGAAGTTGTTGAGGTGTATGATGTTACATGACTTGGTAGAGTTTAAAAAGATGTAGGTCTTGCAATTTCCTGAGATGAAAATGGTGTGGTTTGGACTGATTGGAACGCATGCAATGGCATGAATCTCCAAAGTGCAGGTCGATGATAGGCTTACCCACCCCTCAAGGTGCAAGGCCATCCAATTACGGGATGAGATTTTGGGCATTAGTCATTTTATCTTATTAAACGTCTTGAATGTGGACGGGATATGGTTTTTGAGAATATTTTTTATAAATATTAATTTTAAATAATAAAATATTAAATAATTTAGTGCAAGTTAAATTTTTGTTATTTAACTCAGTTAATATAATATAATTAAACACAAACACTAAATTTTTATATTGTAAATATTTATAAATTTGTTTGTAAATATTAATTTTAAGTAATAAAATATTAACTAATTAACTCAGTTAATATAATATAATTCAACACAAACACTAGATTTTTATATTGTAAAAATGTTAAGAATTAAATCTTAATAATTTTTTAAAAAACTTCTCGCAAAGGATGTTATTCTTTTCAGGAAAAATATAATTAAGCTTTAAAAGTCAATATAATAAAAATACGATATATTTTAATAATATTAAAATTAAATTAAATTATTTTTTATTTTAGATAAGATTATATGTTTACTTTTTAAAAAAAATATTAACAAGTAAATATAATTTTATCAATTATAGATTAATAGAACTTTAAACTAATCATAATTTTTATTGACTTTTTTAATTGAAAATAATTTTTATTAAAATTAAATACATAATCAGTATAAAAAATCCAAAGTATTAAATTTTATTATAAATTACATATTAATCTAAATTAAGAATTAAAACTTAAAATAATCAATATTTTATATAGAATTATATTCAATAAATTGTGTTTTTGGTTAGTATTTATATAAATATAACTAACAAATTAACACAAATTTAATATTCTTATAGTTTGATTCTGTATTTGATACACATCATATTGGGACTTTAACTTTAAGTATTTAAAAATTATAATTTACTCCAATTTAGACGGTCAAACCACTTTCACTTAAGCAACTTAAGTTCAATATCAAATTTGTTTTAAAAAATATAAAATGACCAAGAAAGGAGAATAGGTGAGAGAATGCGGAGTTTGTAGAGCAAAACCGAGGAACTGAGGGATTTAATTTTTAAATATTTTTTAAATAAATTAATTTCACAATAAATAAAAATAATAATAATTTCATTCAAATAGTTTCTAATACATAGTTTAAATAATGTATTTCAAAATAAAAGAAAGTTACAAGTTTGCATCAAAATAAACGTTACAGAACTAATTTAATTACATCACAATTTTCAAAAATAATTTCTTAAGTTCTATAACAGTTTCATCCTCTCCATTCACAGAGTTAGTGCTGATCGTCTTGGTCACCTAAAAAATCAATGTAAGGATCAGTACTCTACACTATCACAAACAAGCACAAAGACTCACCTTGCACGTTTCACACATTTATTAACATAGTTCAAATTGTGCATCAAACAAATACAAAGTACTACTTTTCAACATTTCACTCCAATTCACATACAGGTGCGTTAACTGCACTGTCAAACAATCTACACACAACACTAACGTGCACTCACTGCACGTTAACCACGCTCACTGTGTTATTATGATCACATCTTTTTGATGCCCTCAATCTCAGGAACTTGCTCAGTTTCACACTATGTATGGTCGCTAGTTAACTCACGGATACAACGTGTACGGTCACGGGCCTCTTTGCAAAGGTATTAGTCAGAAGCTGAGTTAGGAGAAGAATGTGTAACCTGTGGTGCACTCACGCTCACTGTTGATATCACCACTATCCTTTTTTCTCCAAGAGATTTCTACCACCCCATCTTTCACACCCCCAGTATATCGCTGTAACTATTCATAGTTTCTAACATTTCACAATTACAATTACATTTACATTTTTCAGGCCATCCCTACACACATTTGTTCACATCACCAATCACATCATGGTATTCATTTTCATCAATTAGCATGTCCACACATATTCAATCACATTATAATTAATCATACAATTTTCATTACAATCTCACTACAATTAAGTCATTTTCATCCAAACACATATCTTCCTATGTTCTGTATCAATCACATTCCAACGCATAACAAAGCAAACAAATTATAAGCACAATAAGACAGGGTAGAATTTTCTCTTACCTCGAATTGAAGACCCAACACAAAATTAACAATGGAAATATTTTTCACATAGATTTTTGTCATAAACACATGAAAAACTCCATGAGAAACTGAGAAAATAAAGAAGAGAGACGAAAATCGGAACTCTAATTCATAAAACTTACCTCCAAATGTTTCAAATGTGATTTAAACCTTCAATCTAACACACAAACAACTTAGAGGTAATTTAATCGGTGGAAAAAAGTTTGGGGTTGAGAGAATCGAAGAAGGAATGAGAGAAAAAGTGGAAAATGAATTTTCTTAATACACAATCAACATTTACATTCATGTTTATGTACACATATTCATATACGTATATACACATACGTTCTTGTCATTACAAATGTACATATATATATTCATATCATTATATACATCAGATACACATTCAATGAGAAATCTACAATTACATTAATAATCAAATACTATTATAGAAAAAGGAGAATAAAGTTGTCATGAAAAGAAATGAGAGGAAAGAAAGGAGGCCAATGAGAGGAAGGTTGACCAAAGAAAAAGAACGAAGGGGTATGGAGAGAAAAAAAAAAGAGCTATGAGAAATGAAGAAGAAAGAAAAATTTTATTTTTATTTAAAAATAAATAAAATTGAATCGTTAAGTTTTTGCATGAATTGGAGTATATCCATATCTATATTTAAAACTAAATTTAATATAATTCTATTAATTAAGGCTCAAATTTAAAATCACAAATTAAACTATTTAATTCAATTTAGCTTAACTTTTGATATAAAAATTGAATGTATAAAAAATTATAATTTTTTTTAGTAATTTATTTAATTTTTAAAAATAATTTAACATATTATAAGTGTTTAGATTAGTTCTTAATACACCTCGCAGTTACTTTTTTTTTTCAACTCCTAGTTACTATGAAATGGTTTTAAGTGGTTGTGGTTAGACTCAAGAACGTGGAAGAATGAAATATTGTGTGAAATTTTTTTTAAAAAAATAAGAAATATTTTATTTTTAAAAAAAATTATTTTAGTTTTGATATAGAGTTAAAACTTTATTTCTATAAAATTGTCATATTAGAACCACTTCTTTTAAATTTACCATGAAATAAATCTTTTCTCAAATTTACCACTAAATACAATTATATATCTCACACTCATTATATTGGCTGTTGACCATCTATTCGCCTCAAATATACTACAACTCATATTTACTTTGGATTTGACTATAATCATAAAGTTTTAATTATTGCATTAATATATTCTCACTATTTGACATTTCTAATAAAATGCCAATTTTATTATACTCATTGTGCATATCATACCAACTTTGAGTACATTTTCATATAAATCAGTTAGGTATAGATAACAATAAATCTACTTCAACTAGCAATGCTTATATAAACAAAAAAAATCTCTTAGCCCAAATACACTATCTTAGCATTCTATACTTTTATTTTAACTAAATTTTTACTTACTTAGATGTTAAAGTGTTTATTGCAAGAATATTGACCCTTTGAAATTTCCATAGCATTGTCAGAGTCCTTCCTCAATCCTTCTTAGCCTTCAAAAACCATCAATACCAAGTATTTAGGTTACCCTCGATATTATGGTACCAAGTCTTAGTAATAAATAATAATAACTTTTATACAATATATTTTTAATATAGTAAATATTTTATATTAAAAATTATTGTTAAAAATAAAAACTTGACCTGTGAATTAGGATTAATATTTTTTTTACATTTAAAAAATATATATATATATATATAATATTATGAGTATATATATATATATGTATGCAATTTTTAATGCAAAACAGGTAGAGGGGTGGAGCGATTAATTACATTCACAGACTTGTACCACATCTCTGCTTTTGTGAGGAAAATCCATGCCCAGATAAATTAGATTTTACCTATCTAAATTGGGTCAGGACTGAAGGAATATCTATTGATTCTAATTTTATTTTTATGCCTAGTATTCATATTTATTTTAATATGTTTCATTGATAAAAATGATTTTGTTCATCTTGTAGATGGAATAAGTTGTAGACGTAAGCAAATACAGATAAACGTGATAACTCAATACAAGTAATGCAAAACAAAAAACAAAAT